TATAATTGAAAAAATCGGCGAAAACAGCATTGCCTTGAAACTACATCTAATCACAAACGACATAGGTATGAAACCAAAATGAGACCACTGCTACTTTAAGGCTAATGCCTCTAGTTTATTGGAAACCAATTCATTGAGTTTGTACTAAAAAAAATGAGTTTCTACCCAAAAATCGACCCGTCTAACATCAAGATGAGAGTTAGCATCAATTTAGCATCAAGATGAAGACGTTAGCACTGGCAAAAGCGACCATTCAATACATTCAACGTTAGCACTGCAACAGATAGTCAGCAGGCAGCAGGCACTGCAGCATATAAAGCACACGTCATGGCATTACGGTTGGAGTTTAATTGGATGTTGTTCGCAATTACTGGCGTTTTGCTTACCTTCATCCTTGTTGTTCTCCTCAGCTGCTGAGCATGCCGCCAGTATCAGCAGCGCCGTGCAGCACCGTCGAAACATTTTTAAAGTTCTTGGACACTCCCCACGTCCGCCCGTCTCCTCCCTTCGTCACTTATCTTCTGTCTCACCCTGATCTGAGCGGCCGCCTTGAGAGCCGGCACTGCTAAGCCTCCGTTCCCTGACGCTAACCGAGTCTCCACCACCCCTGTCGTTCCAACACTCTCGTCGCCAACTACAGTCTGCCCTGCGCACCCGACCCCTCTCCCTCCTCGACTGTGTCTCCGTCGGCCCGGCGCCGCTCCGGTCCGGTGCTCCGGACACCACCTCACAGTCTGGTCTAACCGGAACGCTGGCCAAACCGGAACGCTACAAACCGGAACGCAAAAACCGGAACGCTAAAAACCGGAACGCGGATCGTGCAGCGAGAGGAGCGGTGTCGGTGGAATGTTTTGGACACGACGGTGAGGAGCAGGGAGGGGAAGCGGTCAGCTCCCGGGGAGCAGGAGGAATGCGCAGGGGGGACGGAGTGTGGAGGGGTGAATCTATGGGGAAGTGACGTATACGAGTATGGGTGAATAAGTGAGGTGCCATTTCATGGCGCACCAGCCGGTGGTCAAGCCAATCTTATCAGTCAATATTTCCCTTATCTTCTCATTTCGAGGCTCTAAAGTGGTTTCATTGAACTGAATGTCAATGCCTTAATCCAACAAAGGGTGGACCTACACGTAAACCCACTCTTCAATGGATGGGGTGGCGTGTGGCGACCCTTGTCTGTCATGAATATTGGGTAAGGTGGTCCGGTGGCGCCGTGCGATAAAATGTTCTGCGAGATAACATCTATCGAACGGAGTGTGCACTGTGCAGTGTGCACGTTACATCACGACGCTTCAAATGAATCAACTGGTGATCTAATAACGAGTGAAATGATAAGCAGGTGACCAACGCCGAGTAAAACAATGAGCATGTGACTAATGAAGCTGATCTGGCCAATGGACATGTGCAACGGCACCGATTGAATAGAAATGCAACAATAAGCACGCATGCCGATGACGTGTTCAAATAACGAGACGGAAAGACGATGATGTGTGCAGGAACTAAGCGTAACTGGTGTGAAGGTGACTGGCGTTCATCCTGTGTTCACTGCAGAGACCGGTTTGCTGATGCTGCTGACGCTCACAACAGTTGACAGGTGCGGTGTTTGTAGCATAGATTAGACAAACAACAAAAACTTGAATTGCCGTGGTTAGAGAACACGTCCGGACAACAGATGCAGCTCCCCGCGCTAAAACCGTGCATCCCCGTGCTAAGACCGTGCATCTGCCGTACAGCTGCAGCGAGTGAATGGAGTGGTGTTCGCTGAGAATTTGTGAGAACGCATGTGTTTATTTTTGGGGCCGGCGCTGAAATGCATTAAAATAATAGAATTAACGCATTGCATAGGAAATAGGTAAAACATTATTATAAAGAAAGATTAGCATCAAATCGCATTTTAACTGCTTAGTCTCCCATTTTCTTGTTATCAAACGACATATGCGAACGACATACCTGATACCACTCTTAACCCTATTCCTGGCGGGCTCCGCCGGGACAAGAAACTGGCGGGGGGGGGGCCGATTCGCCCCCCCCCCCCTGAGATCTCGAGAACGAAGCAAGATAGCGACAAGCGGTAAACGGCATCGGATACGCACGGCCAAGATCTACAATTTTTACAAAGGTCATTTTCAGGTCAGGTCAAAGATGACGTCACAGGGGTCGAAAAAGTCAAAATGGCGGCACTAGATATGGAGAGAGTTTTTCTCGAATAACTTTCGAATTAGTCAAGATAGGAACAAACTAAGGGCAGCATCGTGATCCTCTCGTCAATCCGCATCGAATGATATATATGTTGACCTCGAAAGGTCAAGGTCAAAGGTTGACCTCAGGTCACGTGACCTCGAGGTCATCATGTATATCATTCGATGCGTCTTGACGAGCTGAACACAATGAGACCATCCACGCGTCTGTATCTTGTTCCTGTACGGAGTTATTGGCCAAAAACCTTTGGTGACCTTTGATGACGTCACATGACCTCACAGCTGCCCAACAGCAAAACAGACCTCAAGGTAGTGAAGGTTGATCGTATATGAAGTCATGTATGGTATATGGGGCCATTCCGACCCGTTTTAGTGGTAAAAACAGGGAGTTGATTTTTCCCCCATTGACTTATAATGGGGAGGTCGCGAAATTGACCTGACCTTAGGTCACCGATATCAAAATTCCGAGATAAACAAATTGCACATACTGGTACCCTAACTAAACCCTGAAGAGAAGAAATTGATCGGTCAAAAACTCTAGCTCTGGCGTGATTGCAAACTTTTCTGAGGTAGCGTCACCAAACCGCCTCTGGTGACCTGACCTGAGGTCAAATCAACTCAAAATTTTCAGACATGTTGCGTAGAAGCCTTTTAGGAAAAGTCAGAAAATTTGAGCTTCCTAGCTCAACGCGTTTGGGAGATATAACCAAAAAACCTCAGGGGGGGGGGGGCTCCTGAGGCCCCCCCGCCAGGAATAGGGTTAAAAGTGCTTTGAGTTTCATTAGCATTTCTTTATGTTCTGTATTAAAAATGTCAGCCATCAACACTAATATCAAACTCATATCGCCACCAACACAACTCGTCAAACACCTATTTTGCTATTTGGGGTGGGGTCACTGATACCGGATCATGTCACAGAGGTCAGGTCACTGAGGGTCATGTGATGCATGTTTCATGGTCCATTTTACATGCCACGTGCGATTATGTGGGTCAGGCAGCCTTTGGGGCCAGTTAAGATTATGTTCTGGTGAAGGTCAGGTCAAGGTCAGGTCAAATTGAGTCAAGGTTCAAAATTGATGTTTTTCATAAAACGGGCATCGATTCGATGCAGCTCGTCGCGGGGAGTTCAATGGTGCTCTTTGTTTGGCGCTATGTGGTCTAGAATTGCTAAGGACTGAGTTAAAAAATTTAACGTCATTTATTTTGAACAGGGACCATCACATGTGCTTGGCGAGCGCAGGGACTATCACATATGCTACGATTTTTCCGAAATTCGAAAAATTGGGGTTGTTTTGCAAAAAAAATTAGCCGTTGGGTCAAAATCCCATAACTTTGAAAATCCCAGATAGCAGTTTTGTAGCGCTGTTTTTCCTACATGACCATATAAATAGATTTGAAATTGCTTCTTAACCCGCGAGTTGCTGGGGGGGCGTTAAACGCCCCCACTTTTTTCGCCGGGCCATAGCATAAAAACGGCGCGCCGCAGGCGCGCCAACTTTTAGGTACCTGTAGGGAATTGGATGAAGTGTATTGTGACAAAGTTTCAAAAAAATCGGTCGGAAAATTTTTGAGATATCGAGGTTTTAGTGACGTCATGATTTCTGAGTTTTCGACCAAAAACGGCATATGTTCAAAAAATCATATAAAATCACAGAATAGACATACAGACATGCCGTAAACGCCATTAGACTGCCAATACCATGAACAATCAAATGGCTATCTTCGATTATTGATTATCGTTCCGCATTTTCCAAAATCTTGAACTGAATCTTGGCAATTTCTCGTGACTACTTTACGACCATGATACATGCATCACAATAATAAATACACACATATACAGTTGGTGCACACGCTAAACATACATGTGGTCCTACAGGGCGCGATCGATAAAAGGTCAATAACATGAAGAGCTACACATTGTAAGTCTGTTGTCAGGTAACCTTGCTTACAATGTGTAGCTCTTCATGTTATTGACCTTTTATCGATCGCGCCCTGTAGGACCACATGTATGTTTAGCGTGTGATACATGCATTTCTTAAATTGAACTTTTTGAGCCAAACACGTACACATATGATAAAATGAATGTCACCATCGTGTTCTACGCCCAAAATTACCCATAAAACATGTGTCACAGGCTGCGAATATCAGTTTTGATTTTCGGGGATATTTGCCTACCCGGTTGACCCTGACCTACCCTTGACCCTGACCTATGCTTGACTGACCCCTACATGGAGCTGACACTCTTGTAGGCCTTATATGATGGATTGTGCACCGTTTTGACAGAGTTTATGACGAGAGGCGCCCATTGCGAAGTCCTGAAGTCCATGCTACTGAAAGCCCGATTTCAGGTGTTTGACCTGACCTTGACCCGACCTGTGACCTCAAAATTCAACTTTAAAGTACTCATCTGAAGCGTCTCGTCGCGTTCTTTCGTTTGCCGCCTCGTGCGTTTCGCTGCGCCTATTGGTTCTCGAGTTATCGGCTGGGGGCGTTTAACGCCCCCCTTCCCCCCCAGCAAACGGTGGGTGGCGAAATACCCCAGCAACTGCCGGGTTAACTGTAGCTTTTGTGAGCATTTCAAGATTTCATGTTTTTTTTGCTCATTTTTCCTCGAACATGACCTCAGTTTGACCTCATAAGGTGACCTAAGACTTTGAACTTTGTGTGAAGGTGTCAAATTGATGCTCGGGAAGGTATTGAAAATTTGGCGGCGCTGCGCGCCGCCTTCTTGCTATTTAGGAAAAACCACAGGGGGCCAAATTGCCCCCCCCCCAACGGGGCAAGGGTTGAACATGTAGAAACAACTTTAAGACGGTTGGTTATTTAAAGGTGGTCCACGTGCTAAGGTATATAACAGGCAATGAAACACAACTCTCAGCCCCCAAAGTATATTTATTGGCGCTAATAGCAAACAGGTAAGAAAAAAGTTACAGACGTTACTTGCAGAGCTGACAACAATTTTCTTCCCCAGGCATACCTATCTCGTCGATTCATAACTCGCTTATACAGTTTTACCCACTTCATGTAGCATCCTCACTACACCGTTCGCAATATTATTAGTTATCAATATTCATTAGTTAACCCTCGCCGGCCGAGGGGGGAGGCGGCACCCACCCCCCCCCCCATAGGGGTTTTTCGCGATTGCTCCGAACACGCTGGTGATAGAGAGCTGCAACTTGGCATACTTGATCTTTGATTCAAGCCGGATCTTTTAACAGCAACCGCATTTTTTGGTCAGGTCAGGTCACTGACCTATGACGTCATAAGTGAACCTCTGCACGGTCTTCAGATGTCGCAACTTCGCAACGCCCTCACTGCCAGAGGAGATGTCACAGGGAAATGAAACTTGCAGGATCTAGTATCCATTATGATTCTCACAACTTGTATATCTCGGATTTTTCCTAAAGGTCATATGAGGTCAGGTCATTTTCGTAACCTCACCATTATAAGTCAATGGGGAAAAATGAAAACTGCTATTCTGGCGCCTGGAACGATCTCCAACTATCTCAAGCACACACAATCGTGATTTGATGCACTCCTTGCAAGGTTAGATGCGTCACTTTTGCAATGTTGACCTTGCGTGACGTCATTTATGACGTCATCAAGGTCATTTTAGTTTTTCGTCAATAACTCTTGATCAAATTGAGCTAGCGAGTCGGGAAAACCGCCAATGGACTCAGGATGACCTGCCGAATCGAATGATATGCGACATGACCTCTTTCGACCAGCTTAGTGACCTAGGGGTGCTGACCTGACCTTAACCTGAGGTCAACACCCTAAGTTGACCTGACCCGAACAAAAAGCATATCTTTCGACGTGCCTGAGCGAGGCAAACACGATGCTGCCAAAATCGCGGCTCTGCGGCCGTTTTTTGCGAAGTTATTCACCAAAAACTGAACCGTACCTTGGGGCAATTGACCTGACCTCAGAGGTCACCGGTTGACCTAGGGCCTTAAAATCGGGTACCAATCTCTGCGTCTCGTAACGGTGCACACGCTCGTTTTTTCCGCGACGCGCTAGCTCCACCAGTGGCGAAACGGCGAGGGGGGTCGTACCCGCCCCCCCCCCCCCCCTCGGCCGGCGCGTATGTAGAAAACCAATAGGTTCGGCGAGGGTTAAGGCACCAATTAGTCAAGGCAGTTGTTTACTACAGTTATTGAAAATATCACAGAAAAGTTTTAGAAATGGCTTAGAATATCAAGCTCGTAATAAAAAAATCATTTTCAAATGCGCAAGTACTTGTTATTTTAAGCGTCACTGATGCCTGTTTGGTGACTCATAATCGAAACTAGTCGCTCAAAGTCTGCACAGGACACTGTCATCAGCCCACCATTTCTGCCACGCAGTAAGATGAATGAGCTTTGACGCACATCTAGCCACTGATCCCCATTTTTGCGAGATGCTGAACCAGGTCATCAAGGGAAACAACACGTTCGGAACAGCGGCGCACGTGCAGCTGCTTCACGCTCACCACGGGTCCCTCCTTCGAGGGATCGACGACGATGAGCGCTGCGGCGCCGCTCTCCGCTGCCCAGCGAACTGCGTGGTCGACGTCGCCCTCTTCGTCGTCCCCTCCATCACCGGCATAGTTGACAGCAGCGATACCGGCACTGCGCAGCCGCCGAGCGACGGAGGCCTGTCGGAGTCGCGCAGAGCGACGATCTGCGTCGTCCGCGACGGTGACTACCACCTGGAACGGAGCACGTTCTTGCCTTCCCTGATCGGCCTCCTCCTCCTCAGCTGCTTCTATCATCATCTCCAGGGAGACGCTGGCAGCTCCGGCGGACGGAGCTGGCAGAGCGGGAGGTGGGCGCTGGGACCAGCAGCGGGCCAGCAGCGGATCGTGACGACCCCCCTCCGCCAGCAGGGCCAGACCAGCGCCGCGACGCTGCCGTATCAGCAGCCGGAACAGCAGGCCTGCCATCTGGTGCTGTTCGCCCTCCAGCGACAGACCTGGTGGTGAAACGCAGGTGGTGACGCGGCAGCTGGGAGAGTAGGGAAATGAGGCAAGTCAAATATTTGACGAAGGGAAAAAGGAAGAGGATTCTCATGAACTTTGGCATGTCAGAGACATAACTTATATGACAGAAATTGTGAGAACGGAAGCTTGAAGTGCAAAACAGAATTGTTTACTAAAAGAAGTACTTGGCGCAGTACCACGGATGACGAAATGTCCAAGATATCATTTGGAAAACGATTACTCAATTACCATCACAAAAACTTTGTCGCTGGCAACTATGTAACATGAAGTGACAGCAAGGCAGCCCTACCACGCGTTGAAGTACCAGACACTGCCCTGACTTACCCGGGTAGATCACCACCTGGCACTGGACTCCCATCTCCCGCGCGAGCTCCACGACATGGGAGACCTCGTCCAGCGCCTGGCGCGCCATCGGCGAGAGGCCGCGTCTGGTCAGCGCCCTGCGCACCGTCTCCAGCGTCCCGCGCAGCTCCAGCAGGCTGGCCAGCTGGTTCACACACTTCTTGGAGAGGCCCAGCGACTCCAAGTCGCGCTGCAACTGTAAAGGAGACAGAGGTAAGTTCATGTATCTCTCCTCATCTCTTCCATGCAACAAAGTTAAATGCTTGTAGCCTTCTACGGTAATGCTCAAAAGTTATCGACAATGTGAATAATTCAATTGGTTAAAAAATGCATAGGATGTCAAAAGAAGTAGGTAGTATTTTCACAGATTAAAAAAACACACACACAAATATAAATGTTTGATCCCGAGTGGATGGGACCGGGAGAGTGGGACATTACCATAGGTACACGAGAACAGAATACTGCCTTCAGATCGAGGCTCATCACTGCTTATTTTCGGGGGTACCGCCTTAGTGTTCAGAACGAAACTAGGCTGCTGAGGTGGCCGCATCCCGGTCTGACCGTCTCACCTGACTTTGATAATTATCAAAGTCAGGCGAGACGGTCCTATTAGAATAGACCATTATACAATGGTCTACGAGTATAATGTAATTGGTCTCACCTGACGCCGATAAGATGTCTCAGCAGATGTTGAAAGATGTCTCACCTGACGTTGATCGGGCCCTCACCTGGCTTTGATAATAGGTCTCACCTGACAATGATAAGATGTCTCACCTAACGTTGTTAGGGGATTCACCTGACGTGTGGTGGTCTCACCCCTGACGTTACACTGACAGTTTCACCGATGATGTTACGAGGTTTCACTTGACATTTGTCAGCGATCTCACCTTACATGGACCTGCGATCTCATCTGATGTAGATCAGTGACCTCACCTTGGCAAACAGTCTCCATTGACGTTGTCCGGGTCTCACCTGACGCTGATCGGGGTCTCACCTGACGTTGTTAGGGTCCCACCTGGCGTTGTCCGGGGTCTTACCTGACGCTGTTCGGGGTCTCACCTGACGCTGTTCGGGGTCTCACCTGACGTTGCTAGGGTCTCACCTGGCGTTGGTCGGCGCTGCTGCCATGTCGCTGAACCAGTCGAAGAGTCGCCTCTCGGCAGTTTTCAGGCACCCTGGCAACGTCCAGCGTCGCCTCCGACAGCTTCGTGTGCCCGAGCACCAGCCAGTGGTCCTTGGCAGCCAGCTTTGGAAATGCTGCCAGAAGGTCGCAGAGCACGACTAATAAGTGAGCGTCGGCGAGCGGCGCGTCACTGGCCGGGGCGTGCCAGCCGACCAGCACCTCCTGACGCACTTGCGAGGCCGCTCCCGGCGGCTGGCACTCCTCGAACACTGGCCCGATCGAGAAGTAGCGCAGGGAGGTGACGCCTCGCCGAGCCAACAGCTGGGTCAACGACGCTCGGAGGGAGCTGGGCAGCTGGACCAGCGCTCCGGAGCGGGTCATCAGGCGGACGGCACTGCTGTGAGCCTGGTCGGCGTCTGATGCGGCGAGCAGCGGCGCAGTCAGCGGCACGGCGCCGTGCTGACGGAGCTGCCTCTCCAGCCGCTGGCGTACAGTCCACTCCAGAGCGGCCCTCTTCGATGACACGCTGCAGTCTTCTGACAACACATCATCGCTGAAGCGCGCTCCTTTCGAGGGACGGCGTGCGAAACATGCCTCAACCATGCTGCGCCAGCTGCTCTCCTCAAGGGGAGGTTTCGGCACCAGCTCCGAGCTGAGGATCTCCTCGCACGAGGGTCGTTTCGCCGGATCGTGTTGCAGCAGCCAGTGCAGCAGCTTCAGTTGCTGGTCTGTGAGGCGTTCTTGTATGTCACTGTCTATCTCCACATCAGCCTGTCGTAGTTGATATAAATGGTGTGCTCGTTCAGAACGTGTGTCGAAGCTGCCGCAACACATTTCGAACCAGATCACGCCGAGGCTGTATACGTCAACTTTCTCCGTGTAGACTCGTCGCTTCTGTTCTCCAGGCTCTGACTCAAACTCCGGTGCCCAGTAAAACACTGTTCCGATAGGGTTTCCAGGACACGTCATTCCTCCCTCTGACAGAGCACTGTGCGCTTCCTGGGCCGTGTTCGCCTTGTTGAAGTTTGAATTCGACACTTCATTTCTTTGTTTCACAGCTTTGAAGGTGGCTAAACCAAAATCAGCGATTTTTACATGATCGTTGCGATCGAGGAAGATGTTGCTCGGGTTGAGATCCCGGTGTATCAGACGATGCTGATGAACGTGCCGCAGACCTTCGACGATCTCGCGAAAGAGTCTCCAGAGTCGCTGCGGCTCCAGGTGGACTTGGTGCAGTGCTGATCGCAGTGTTCGGTTTTCGCAGTACTCCATCTGGATACAGAGAAAGATACGACAACTGCAGTCGGCCGCTCCGTCGGCGCTACTTTTGGTGGGACTGGAGCCGTCCTTGAATTCGATAAAATCACTAGATGATTCCTTCTCATTCCCCTTGTTTTTAGCGCATAAGTCTTGCTCGTGCCTTTCTCCATCCTCTATGTCCTTTCTTTTCTTTTCAAAATCGTATTCGTTGTCTCCTCTTCCGTCATCTTCCTCGCCTTCATCATCATCATCATCATCATCATCATCATCATCATCATCATCATCATCATCATCACCATTCTCTTCTTTCCTCTCTATCCAAGAAGTGTAATACCGAACAACATTTATATGCTCAAGTTTGGCCAGACACTTTGCCTCTGTTATGATGCGCTCATAAGCACTTGACTGTGTTTGCTTTAACTCGATCCTTTTAACAGCATAGATCTTTTCGTCCAGTTTATTTTGCACTTTCAGGGCGGTACCATACGCTCCCGATCCAAGCTTATCAATGATTTTGAAATTGTGTAGAAGGTGCTGACTGGGTATCAAAGTGCCTTCTGAAACAACGGAGGCCGATGTGACCTCACTGACACTCTCACTCAGACAAGAAGATTCGGTAATCACCGATGGAGCGACGCGTTCCGATCTGGAAGGCTGCTCAGTGTCTGTGGTAGACATGGTGTTCGAGGTCAGCCCACTGGCGTCCTCTTCTTGCAAGATCTCGCTGAGGTCCGCACTCTCAGCAGAGACTGCCTGGGATAGTGCGGCGGCGTTCAGCAGCTTCTCGGCCAGCTTTGCCAGGTCCAGGACCATCTCGGAGCCCAGTTTTCTGCGCGCCTCACGGCGCAGCTCGGCACCCAGCCTCTCCAAATCGATGACGGACAACTGCTGCGGCTCCAGCAGCTCTATCGCCGGAGGGACGTCCGGGTAGCGGGCCGGCATCTTCAGCCGCAGCTTCAGCGCCCTGCCGCCATCAGCGGCGCGCAGGCGCAGGACAAGGTCCGGAGGGCGCCCTGTCTTGGGCGAGTCCCCGCGCAGGTCCTCACATTCTCCTGGAGCCGAGTAAATGAGCCGGATGGCGGCCAACTCATCCTCTTGTCGTTGCCGGTATTCGTCGTCATCAGACATGGTTTCTGGGGACATAGACACGCTAAAAGTCAAAAGATGAAAAATTGTCAATAGGTATTCTTGATTTGCTGAAACAGGCATTCTACAATGCTTTAATTTTTATGACTGCTTTTTGTTCATCGATTTTCCCATCATTAGACCTTTCACAACGATTCATCGAGTGAAAACCAATTTGAGCTTCAAAGGGGGCATTCCACGTCAAATCGAACGAAAATCGGCTGTTTTGCACCTTACCATCAGCGATTTCATTATAAATTTGTGAGCGAGTTCCTGTGTCGCCCCGGACATTACATTGATGTTTTTTGCACATTCTGACCACAGGTCTTCTAAATATAGGGCATCAAATTTTTACAAAATGTTGCATCTTTATATTTTTGAACGACCATAACTTTGGTTTTACTTATTTGATTTGAATGGAATAAACCTTACTGTTTAGGTAATTTCTTAAGCATTTGTTTAGAATTGCATCGACTTAAATATATGACCTTGAAATTTGCTTAACTCTGTTCTTAAGCACAAACATTGAAATAGCAAAAAACACGCCACCTTCGATTTGGCTCATTTTCATATATTTTATTGCCTACCATATTCTTAACAACCTGTGAAAAAATTAGAGTGGGCCATTCATAAGTTTTGAAGAAAATGGCACATATGCAAACGTATGTTAGCACGCGCAGTGGAGGGGGAAGAGTGAATTTCGCCCCACCCCTCCTGTTTTTCGCCAATATCTCATAATATTGATGCGAAATTACTTATGGCTACCTGTCCAGAATTGAATTGCACATCTCATCGTGCAAGCAATAAGAAAATCGGTTCACAACTGTTCTAGTAATAGCGGTGTAAAGTGAACATGCTGTCGCCGCGGCGACGCGGCGACTCGGCAGCCGGCGCCGACTGCTACGCGCCGCCTGAATTGTAGACTGTGCCGGGACGGAACGGAACGGTTCCGTCTTTACATCGCGCTCCTTACCGCTGATTACGTTCGATTCGCGTCAAATTTTGTGAGAAGACTAAGAAATGTACAGGCAATCTTATGGTGAAAGAATTCTGAAAATAGGTTGGTAAACAATTGAAATATGAACGTGTAAACACAAAATTGTGACTGCTGCGTTTCCCGCGTCGGCCGATCCCGCCTCAGCCGGCGACATGTTACTCTTAGCAGGACTCTAACTGCCATATTTATTATCGGATTAACTAGAAATTCCCCATACATACTCAAATATGTATGTTCTTTCGTATAGTGAAGATTAAAAGACGTGAAAATATCGTTGCGTGATAATGTTTTCGTTGAATTTATTTCATGATGCATTTCCACACGGCTCAAAATTCACCGCAAAATACCGTTTGCCTGAGACACTTTTACAATGGAACGTGAATGCTTGACTACGATGACTATGCATTTCCATTCTCGCAGAGTTTGGGATATCACTAATCAGCAATCATTCATTTCAGAAAGTGTACACAAGCATGCATGTCTTGACTCTGTCTTTCAAGGTCACGCGCGGTTGCGTGATGTTGATGCATGAAAACGGCGTTTGCCGCGAAAGTTATGAATGGCCCACTCCAATTTTTTCACAGATGGTTAGGAACATTGTGACGGACATAATATGTAAAAATTACTCAAATCGAAGGTGGCGTGTTTTTTGCTATTTAAATTTTTCTGTTTTAATTCAAGGTCAAATGCATTTCAAGGTCACTTCAATTTAATTTTATAATTAAAAATCAAAGCCTTGTCAATTGCCTACAAGACCCTGTTAATATCATTTTGATACCAGAAAAGGAACCAGAGTTATAAGCATTTAAAAAAATGATGTGTGGCATTTTTGGCTATATTCGATGACCTATATCTCGGCGATACGTTATCAAATTTCGAAAATATTACACGTAACTCAGTTTTGAACCATGCCCAGTCTGCCTACAAATTTTCAGAAAAATCGAAGGGGATGACGGATTTCGGTGTTTGATTTGACGTGGAATGCCCCAAAGGTCAACTGAACATTGGGAATGAGACGAGATCATGATGGAATCGATAAGCTTATGCTGCAACTAAACTCTTGTTCGTTTTTCATTTGCAAAATATGAAACATCCAAGGTGTTTTTATGTTTTTATGGTTGTGGCATACCCCTATAAATTGTAACAAATTAACAGTCTTTCATGAGTCCCCATAGGGTCAAAGTTCAAGTGTAGCTTGATAGGGCAATTTTATTGTTCAATATACTCAACGCTTCGATAAACCATTTCATGCTTGCGAGGGAAAGACCCCCCCCCCCACACACACACACATACAAACACACTTATGCATAAGTTGCTGGAAAAACTTCACATGCGGGTGAAGATTGATCCACGAGACACTCTACAGTCTACATCACGCTCGCTCGTAACAAGCAGCATCGGCATGGTTACGGAGTTGGAGTCGGAGTCGGAGTCGGAGTCGGTCGCAGTGGACAATCCGCCTGGTGTCGGAGGCAACATTCCATGGCTCAAAGGTATATTTCTGCAACTGTTTGCATGAAAATATTGCGCTCGTTGACATTTCCAAGACATATTTTGTCGAAGCTCAGGCCCTAGGTATTTCTGCTTTGGACGAGCGTTTTCAGTGAGTAAAGCATAAGGATAAGGTAGTGGCTGCTTCAGATTAATGCTGCATGTTGTTTATGAAGTATACCTATAGTTGTAACGTAAGCCGTAGGCCCGTAAGACCTTGGGAGCGCAAGGACTGTTTCAGGCGAGATAACCGAGATAACAAGATGTTTGACGTGAATTTCACTGTCATCGCATGGAATAAAATAAATGTCTGGAGTCGAAGCTGGAGTCGGGGTCGATGTAAAAGCCGGAGTCGGAGTCGGAACCACACTGACCATGCAGCCCTGCTGAGCACAGCACATATCGACCATCCCGTCACGTGACTCGTGCCAGCCATCCAGATATGGCGTCACGTGACACGTGCCAGCTGTCCCGTTGTGGCGTCACACCCGGGATTTCCCGCACGTCGCAGTCCGTCGGCCCGCGGCGGGGACGTAGGTACACAGCAACACATCAACTTGCCTGGTTCGTGATTCCACCTTCACAGCAAGCCCAGGCCCAAGTAGTGGCCCAAGACACTCCGGTGAAGCCACGAGTAGTTCTAGCCGAATGTGATCCCGGTTGACGTTTGTTGATAATGACAAGTTCAGTGTGCCACAACAGATGATGCAATGGGGACGGGTGAGCTGCGGCGCAGTGGTCCTGACACTGTAATTGAATGATGCTTACAGGCTGCAACTGCCGCAACTGCGCCACTAGTGCATCTCATGAGGGCTGCCAGATGAAGGATGTCCTTATTGCGTTCTGTGGATTGTTTGACATAAAATGCAACTTTTTTTCGAAAGGCGATGGGATACAATTGTGGTACCTATTCAAGTGGTGTTCTTGCGCTTCATGATCATAAGACTTTTGCTTTGTCTCGTAAAAATGCAAAAACTTATCAAAACATGTCAACAATTAGTACTTAACCAGCATGAGCATCAGGTGTTAATTACTGCGAATTGGCCTGCTGGGCTGTTGGGTTGGTGCGCCCCTCTCAGCTGATATTCGCGCGCCAGTGATTAGTTGAGACGCTGGTGACGTAACACTGCACCATGACAGCCCTCTGTGCTGACACGAGCGTAGCTGTGTTTCACGGAGTAGGAGGTTGCAATTGCAGAGGTCGCCAGCTGTTAGCAGAGACACTTAAATCACACTTTCCCCCATAGCGGGGTCAAAAGGAGGATATGCTCTATTTACACGACACAGCAAGTGAAGAATCCGTAGCCTAAAGCAAGGAGATTTATGTGACTTTTAAGCGAATTCTCTCCATTTTCTTGTAAGGTTTTGCATAGGTGAAGATCTATAACTCTAAAATGTGAAAATAATTACCCTCGCTCCGCTGGGGGGCCAATTTGCCCCACCCCCTGTGGTGTTTCCTGAATAGCAAGAAATCGGCGGCGCGCAGCGCTGCCAAACTTTTAATACCTTCCCGGGCGTCAATGTGACACCTTCACACAAAATTTCAAGTCTTAGGTCACCTAGGTCAGGAGTTATGGAGGTCAAACTGAGGTCATGTTCGAGCAAAAATGAGCAAAAAACATGAAATCTTGAAACGCTCACAAAAGCTACAGTTACCAAGCAATTTCAAAGTTCTTTATATGGTCATGTAGACAAAAGACAGCGCTATAAAACTTCTATCTCGGATTTTCAAAACTTTGGGATTTTGACCCCCAAAATTGTTAAAAAATTGATTTTTTAGAAAACGCAAAAAATCCCAAAATTTTTCAGATTTTTCGAAAAAACGGAAATATGTGATAGTTCCTGCGCTCTTCTATATACATACCAAGTTTTAGCTAGATACCTCCTTTTTTGGCCAAGTTATGGCGAAAAAACTGTTCAAATTGATGACGTCATATTTTTGAACTCAATTTTTTTAGCAATTCTAGACCACGTAGCGCAAAACAAAAACCACCATTGAACTCCCCGTGACAAGCTGCATCAAGTCAATACCCAGTTTATGCAAAAATATCAACTTTGAAATTTGACCTAATTTGACCTCACCTTGACCTGACCTTGAACTGACCTTCACCGGGATATAATGTTAACTGACCCCGAAGGCTGCCTTACCCGCATAGTGGTATTTGGCATATAAAATGGACCATAAAACATGCATCACATATTTTCATATTGTGACCCTCAGTGACCTGACCTCTGTGACCTGACCTGGTATCAGTGACATCAGATAGCAAAATATGTGTTTGACGTACATTTTCCCATCGATGATTTTCAATGAAATTCATTTTAGTCGATTTTACAACGCATTTCTTAAAATGCCTGTAAACGGTGAAAATTCGGCACTTAACCTGACCTGTGACGTCATCGGTTTAACCTAGGTCAATGAAATTGGGTCACAAGTTCACAAGTCCCTGTTGGGGCTATCCAACACCGTTTGCCGCTTGTCGCTATGATGCGTGGTTCTCGAGATCTTAGGAGGGGGCAAATTGCCCCCCCCCCCCAGCAGAATGCGTTGCTCGGCAGACCCCAGCGGGGCGCGGGTTAAGAAAACTGACATGTCGTTTAAAATCCTATAGCTTATAGCTTAGTATATCTACTTGAAGAGATTATGTTTGCAAGTACCTTATTACTTTCTGCAATCCGAGTAATCAGTTATTTCTTGTTTAGATTTCTTTTTTAAGTCGACGTGCTGCTACGTCACAATCGCTGAGGCTAAGAAAACTAAACTCTTCTTTCAAAACAAAGAAAACTTTAAAACCATACACTTGTGGCACTCAGTTTGTACTTACCTTGTGGTCATTGAACGGGTCAGGTCAAGGTCAGGTCACCAAAGTTCTATCGTCCAGACCGCGCCGCACTGGCGCCCTCTCCGCCACCACTGTCCGCTGCCGCCGAAGGCTGGTATCGGTACTGATAGGGGCGAACGGGGCCTTTCACAGAAGCTGCAATCAAGGGCGGCGCCACCGTGGGGGCAGTAGGGGCAGACTGCCCCCACTGGCAAAAGGCCATGGGGGCAAGACTATGTTTTTGCCCCCACAAAATTTGGCTGATGTTGAAATGGGAACAGAAGACCGGTGCAACATTCATGATAGGCGGTTATAATAGTACACTCGGGGCAGATTGATGTTCCACCACTCCCTACCCATCGGGCTCCCATGGATCAGCAGTGGCTGCTGCCATGGTGTTGCCTGCCCTCAGCACTGCTCAGCACTGCCTGCCAGTGCCAGTGCTGCCAGTGCTGCCACTGGCAGCAGCCAGTGCTGAGCCATCGGAGCCCAATGGGTAGGGAGTGGTGGAACATCAATCTGCCCCCGAGTGTACCTACGCCTGTTTTTACGGTCCCCGCGTTACGCGTATCAAGTGCATTAGCAGAACGTTCGTTCTCGGACCGTCTGTCGCATATCTCCTACTCCCACTCATTCTCCTACTCATTTTCATTCACCAGAAGGCTGCCCTCTCGCTTGACCTCGAGGAGGTTGAGAGGCAGTTTGTCAAAATCGGCCAGAGAAGAGATCACCTTCTTTTGGGAGCCCTTAGACTGAGACTTGAGTTCAGGGAGGTATGACAAAATGTGATAGGTATGTATATCCGGGTTATCTGGTATGTGGATCGCCCTAATAAAGCTTGTTCTGGTATATCAATCGTGTGTGTGAGAATCGCACACGTACCCACTAGTGGTGTCAATCGGAATTTGAATCTTCGGAATTCCGATTTTGTCTAGTGTCCAATTCGGAATTCGGTTGGACAATGGCAGTAGGCTTTGGACAACTTTGGACAATCGCTTGCTACACCTCAACATTTTTAAAAAGTAGTCGTGTTTAACATTAATTGGCTATTAGAAAGCTCAGCTTTCGATATGATTAACACTTTTGAGCTTGTAACGTTACATGAAAAGCAAATTAAATAACAGTGTTGAGTGTAAACTATTGCGTTGGTGTCGGACATCTTTGGACAAATGGCTGGCTTGGACATTTTTGGACGGACAACCAACGTAAGCATTGGACATTGGACGAACTTTGGACATACGTTTTCTGAAATTGACACCACTAGTACCCACTACGGGAAAAAAGAGAACTAGGTACTGATCATTGTTTTGAGGAATACGCCATTCTCAATCCATCTCAACAAATAACATAACGTTTTCATAGGTTTGTGTCTCGCAATCTAGTTTTATAGTTTTATTTGCTCGCGACCGTAACCTGCCCGGGTCCGGGGGGCAATCCCAACCACCGCAGCCCGGGGGTTTGTTTGTTGTTTGTTTGCTCGATTTGTTTGCTCGTGGGTTGTAGCCCCCCACACACCTGTCTAACTCCGTAAATAAGGCAGCTACGGAAACAAAAATGGTACCAAACGAAAGGTATTTACGAGAAGATTCTAAAGCTAAACTTTTTGATCTCAGGTCAATTTTCAAGGTCAAACATCAAGGTCAAAGGCAAAAACCGGCACTTTTGTAGTGGTCTCAAAGTAGGTACGTGTTCCAGAGGACGGCATAGTGCATGAAACCGGCTAAAATGGTTGTTAAACGAAAGAAGAGAGTCTGGGGATTCCGATGATCTGCATAACATTCAAATGCAAGGTCACAGTCATGATCAAAATTGACCACAAACTTTGCACTTTTTCTTATATCTTGTTTACTAAATTCCGAAATGTTTTGAAATGTTTTGAAGCTTAGCGGGCCCCTATTTGTGCCTTAGCTTACGATAAAAGGCTGCTACAAGGTTTAAAGTCACAAGAGAGTATCCTTGCTAGAGGTTATTTCACTTATTCAAGTCAGGCATAATAATTAAGACATGTTATGCCATCCTGAGGCTCTAAATGAATGCTTAGAGCATAATGGATGCCAGAATCGTGATCAGCGGCAACGAAATCATCACAAACGCCCTTTCATGTGTCAAAGTCAACCAAAGGTCATTCGAGGTCACATGATGTCAACATAAAACTTGACCTTTTTCAAACAATATATATATATATATATATATGTATATATAATATATAATATATGTCATTCGACACGTCTCGACGAGACAAATGCGATGTTACCGCTGTCGTAGCTCTAGGACCATTTTTGTTGAAGTTATTTGCAAAAAAAAAACTAAAGCCCCAGCTCGGGGTCATTGACCTGACCTCCAACCTCAGGTCACCAAAGTTACTTAAGCATTTTTCTAGGTCAAATGCCACACAACCGTGCTCGTAATTCGTCTTCATCTCTAAACCTCTATTTTTGGCAGCTGGTTGAAGTTCACGTCTGTGACGCCGAAGTTTGCCGTGCAGGAGTCTAGGAAAATCAGCCCCGAGACGTTATCAAGAAGGCTAGGTCCAATTCGCTTGCTTCAAAAGATGTCAAATTAATGGGGGATAAGGTACAGCAAGTTTCGTCTTTCTATCCCTAAGTGTTCATGAGGTATCGCAAATATTCGCCAGGGGAGGCGAAAAACGCCCTCCCCCCTCCCCCCCCCCTCCTGGCCCGCGAGGGTTAATGGTTAAGCTCAATTATGCATGAAACCTGAAACCATAATAATTTTGAATGGCAACCTCTAGGGGCAAGGTGCTCATGGATTTTGCAGATCGGGGTAGGTATCAGACCACAGTCGGGTTACCTCAAGCTTGCCCCCACTGGCGAAAATTCGTGGCGCCGCCACTGGCTGCAATCATGCCATCCGTCAGCGCGCTACTCTTATCAGATACCAAATCAGGTAGGGTTAAGTGGAGATCGGATAAGTCTAGATATATGATCAGATATATCGAATATATTTTTAAAAAATGTTCCAGAATAAGATGTCTGTCCCTCGCCGGCACAGGCCATTTTGCGTCCTTCGACGGCACAAGGGGGGGGGGGGGTTGGTACGACTCCCCCCCCCCTCCTCGCGTTTGGCCCCTGATCGAGCTAGAGCTTCGCGGAAAAAGCTAGCGTGTTGCCCGTGACGAGAGGAAGCCGATGATACCCAATTTTAAGGTCCTAGATCATCGGGTGACCTTCCAGGTCAGGTCAATGACCCGAAAACCGGGAAAATCGGGACCCGTTAGAAAGTCGTAAAGTGTGGCTGCTATGTGGTTTTCCGGGGTGCTGATCACGAATATCGTGTTAGTTTTGATCAGAGATGATGTCTTTAAGCATTTAGACCAGGTCGGGTCAGGTCAGGTCAGGTCAACCGGTAGGGGTTGTGACGGGTATTCGTAATACGTGTCAACCGCCTCTGACAGCTTCGTAACATGTTACGAAGGCACCAAAACTACTTCGTAAATGTTCAAATGGTTGCTAAATTCGAATTCAGCTCCAAAAACTAGCCTAGAAACATGTAAAACTCGAAAAGTGAACCGAGGTCACCGGAGGTCACCAAAGGTCAATGACCTGACCTGACCTTCAGGTGACCTTGAAACCCACCCTAATGTATGGGAGCAACATCAAAGCACATGTTTGAACGTTTGAAACCACGAAAAGCTTGCAAACGCGCGGCTAATGCGAGCCGACATACGCCGAATCGCGATTCCAGCCAAACATTGTCTCGGAAAAGAGGTCACAGGTCAAAGGTCATTTGGGTCAGGGTCATGAAACTTTCAGGGTAGGTGTAAAATTAATCAATGCGAGGGTATTGAAAGTTTAATCGCGATCGGCCGCTTTTTACTCGAGTTATTCGCGAAAAACCTTAGGGTGGGTTGCATCACCCCCCCCCCCCCCTGTGCCGGCGAGGGTTAAGATGTGCCACAAAAAGAATAAATGACGGGATGGTATATATTTGAAGATGGCGTTTCATCTGTACCGCTTGCTATTTCCACTGCCATCAACCGGCGGGGAACTAGAGACTAATATTGACATTGACGCGTGACTCAAATGTGCGGGCTAGGTTTCGTGGGTGGACGCGGGCGACGTGACAAAAAAGTCGCACGCGCAAACATTGACTAGCTGATCATTGTTCATTGTTTTCAGCGTTTGGGTGAACAAAGAAGACCGACTAGCAAGGCGTGTGCATTTTTATTGTTCAACATAAGTCGTCATCATGGTTCATGGCACCAGTCCACCGCCTCCTCTCTCAGGCTCCAGTCAAAGCATGCATGATTGGGGATCCTGATTCACGGCATCAGACTATCCGCCACTACCACAGGCGTTATGGTTCGTTTTTGCTTCAAAAGTTGTTTGGCTCCAAACATGTTTTTATACTTTTCAGTCATACGCTTCAGCCAGCGAAAAGGGCAAAAACAGAATCTAAGAAAATGGAACATCACCTAATTCTAGCATAATTTAAATTTAGCTTATTTTAGCAGATACCATTTCCAGGTATTTACCGTCCACACAAGAATGTTGAATGTTGATTGTAACGGTTGGAATTTCTTGGTTCTACGAAGGTACCGAAATACACGTGACACATGGCTATGAATTTAAAACCAAACAACTTTTGAAGAAAAAAAGTACTTAGCTACATTTTTGCCAGTGATTAGCATACATTTATTCACTTTGGCTAATGCAGACAAAACAAATCGCTAAGTCATAGTCAGTTCCCTGAACGTCGCAATGGTTTCACTGGTCGGCATTATGGGTCAATCAGACGACACAATGGTTTCACTGGACGTTACATTTGATGCATCGGTTCGAGATTCGTTGAATTGACGATGGCCTATGTGTGCATATTTGTGCTTTTCACACTAATTACTCAGCTACAATGTGTACCTAGTCAACATCAAATATCAACGACAGAGTCAGAATGTAGGTCAACCTACGACATATTAACGTGCTCCACGCTACAAGGCAATCAGAATTCAGAGCCCGTCTAGTGGACCTGGCCACTGTACCTGATTGTCGTCTACAAATCTACCTGCCCTACAACACCACCGAATCAAAACGAAGAAAAAGAAACTTTTTCGTTCATTTCTGGGAAATATTCCGCTGTCTGACCACTTACAGTAAGATCAATGATTGCACCTTCGTTTTAGTTATATATACAGGATGTTTCATAAAGAATGTCAATTTTAAATTCGCCATTTTAACCATACAAAACAATATATTTGCATAATTTACAGATTCACATACACCAGAAGACTTGGACATTTGATTTTTGTCTGTTCACTTTTCTCTATCTAGACAAACGGTTCCACGACAGCCCAGTGAAGATCGGTCCACGAATATGGTGCACGGCCCGGAGCACTTCTTCGCAGTCCATGGGGAGTTAACGAAGTCTTGCTCTAAGTCTAAAGTGAACTCTAAAGTGAAGGGTTATCTCTAAAGTGAAGCCGAAACTTTCTCATAAATTTGGAGATGTTCTTAACCCGGCCGGGCCCGGGGGGTAATCCCAACCATCGCAGCCCGGGGAGGGGCGTTTTTCGCCCCCCTGTCTATCTCCGTAAATAAGGGAGGTACGGAAACAAAAGTGATACCAAACGAAAGTTCCTTACAAGACGAATCTAAAGCACCTAAAATTTTTTACCTCAGGTCAATTTTCAAGGTCAGAGGTCAAGGTCAAAGGCAAAAACCGGCACATGTGTAGTGATCTCAAAGTAAGCGTTCTAGAAGACGGCAAGATGCATCAAACCGGCAAAATTGGGTGTCAAACAAAAGAAGAGAATCTGAGGATTCCGAAACTGTTCTCAAAATCAAAGGTTAAGGTCAAGGTCACGCTCAAAATTGACCTCAAACTTTGCACTTTTTCGTACATCTTGCGTGCTAATTTCCAAGATGTTTTGAAATGTTTTGAGGCTTATCAGTTCTCTATTTGTGGTTCATCTTACGATGCAAGGCTTCTCAAAGGTCAAGGTCACAGAAGAGTATCCTTGGTAGAGGCTATTTCGCTGATTCAAGTTAGTAATAAGAAATAAGACAATTTTGCCATCCGGAAGCTCTAAATGAAGGCTTAGAGGAAAAAAGATGACAAATTCGTGATCAGCGGGTACAAACCCATCATAAACGACCTTTCATGTGTCAAGGTCAACCAAAGGTCATTTGAGGTCACATGAGGTCAACATAAAACTTGACCCTTTTCCAAACAAAATATATATCATTCGACGCGGCTTGACAAGACGAATGCGATGGTACCACTACCGAAGCTCTAGGATCATTTTTGTCGAAGTTATTTGCGAAAAACTAAAACCACATTTCGGGGTCGTTGACCTGACCTCTGACCTCAGGTCACCAAAACTATTTTTCTATTTTTCTCTAGGTCAAACGCTACACAACCGTGCTCGTAATTTGTCTTTATCTCTAAAACTCTTTTTTAGCAGCTATTTGAAGTTTGCGTCCGTGACGCCGAAGTTTGCCGTGCAGGGGTATAGAAAAATCGACCCTGTGACGTCATCAAGGGGGCTAGGTACAAATTTTTTACTTCAGAAGATGTCAAACTGATTGGAGAAAAGGTACTGAAAGTTTCGCTTCCATATCCCTAAGCGTTCGGGAGCTATCGCAAATATCCGCCAGGGGGGGGGGCGAAAAACGCCCCCCCGGGCCCGCGAGGGTTAAGGCAAGGCTTCCGAGCTGTATCACTATCCAAGTATCCACGCCTTCTGTTCTTTCTAAAATGGCGTATTTGAGCACGGCGAACCGTGAGGTGAACCCGACATTTCCCGTTCTGAAAAAGGAATGACAACAAATTTGGCATTGAATGCTATTTATATAAAATGTCCATCAATTTCCAACAATGCTTGAAAGTTTGCACGTGCTAGACACACTTTTTCTTTTTGAACTCCCCAGTTTGAAATTGACATTCATTATGAAACACTCTGTAGGACCTCCGTGGATTTTCCCCGGCATATTCCATCAGGAAACCTGCCCGAGTCTCTTTTCCATACCAAGCCCGCATACTTGAACACCACTGTTGGACGCTCACGGCTGAACGGACCACGCATTTGAGCTAAGGCAGACGCGAGCGGTGCCGATCCCCAGTGTTTTCTATGCCACGCGTGTGACGTCACTGGTGGCACGCATGACGTCACTGGTGCCGTTTTCGTCCGGAGTGTATTGCCTAGCGCCGGGTCTGGGCGAGGGTGTGTTCGGCCTCAGCCGGGGCGTGGGCGTCCTTTGATGCTCCTGAAGACCCATCTTCATACTGTAGCCGATAACCTGTAAAATACCATGTAAAAGTATAATTAATATTAGATAATAAAACATCATACTGGGTAAAAGTGCAATAATAAATTAATGCCTAACACATCACCAACATATAAGCTACCTACTTATTATAGAGGTTCACTCATTTTCCAAGCTGGCTTTCAGCTTCACCAATAGTTTGAAAGTGCGTGGACATATGAAATTTCACGGAGAGTGAAACCCGTATTGAACTGGAAGAATACCGACCCGCAGGACTGACCTGGAACAGTTTTCTCCACGCGGCCTCGGTACCCTCGTTCCACTGGTTGGCCTCGATCAAACTGGGACGGATGACGCTAATGAACTGCTCCCCCATCATCTGAAACGGAAATGCGGGAGCTAAAAACCATGCTGCAACGAACCGTTTGGTAGAACATGATGCAACGCAGCGAACAAGGAGCTTACTACGGTCTATTTTTACTGACCTCATTTGTCGTCGTGCTATTCTAACGCGGATCGGGTTTTACGTCAGCAAGTTCGTTTTCGACTACACCCTCACCTCCCCTCCCCCAGTTTACTTTCACATGGTAATAAAATTGACCAACTCACGTACTCTACTTTTTTATGACAAAGTGTGACGTACTTCTTCCCCTGGCGTAGGCACGGTAATTGTAGGTATACTCACATCGACGTACTGCGGTTTGGCTCCGTATGACACGTGCCGACAGCCGAGCTCCTTCATCATCGGGCCGTACTTGTCCTCCGAGTCCAGACGGGAAATGATCTTATTGACGAACCCCATCACCCTGAAATGGAGGAAATGCTGTAAATAGGGATATGATCTTATTGGAGTAGCTCATCACCCTGAAATGGAGGAAATGCTGTAAATATGGGTGTGCTTTTAATGACGAACCCCATTACCCTGAAATGGGGGATGACTGTAAGAAGCGATATCTTCGTATTGACGAATCCTATCACTCTGAAATGGGGGAGGGGAGGAACACTCAATGGGGATATGATCTTATTGACGGGCTCTTACTCTGAAAGGACGAAACACTATCACCCTGAGATGGAAGAAGCACGGTAAATAGGGATATGATCTTATTGGCAAATCACATCGCCCTGAAATGAAAGCAGAAACACTGTAAATGGGGGTATGATCATATTGGCACTCTGCTATGGACGTAATGACAGTACTTTGATTACTCCATTTACCGATATCCTAGGGCTTTGTTGATAATCCTGATCATTGTTTCGTTATAATGACAAGCGTTTGTTGCTGTTCAAACTTTGACCCTTATTGTCTATAGTAGCATCTTCGTTGTCGCATACACATACATCTATCCATACATCCACATACATCCATACATATACATCAGCTAATACCTACTTAATTGTTTAATGTTATCGGATAAGTGTAGCTAGAAACAGATCATTCGTCGAATTGAATGGGAAACTTGGCCGTTCAAGGAGCTCAATACTATTTTCGGCCGGCAGGTGGCAGATTTACAGATTTTACAGACTTGCAGATTTACAGATACAAATTTGTCGTTAAAGTTCAAGTGAGAAACCGATGCAGCGAGCCTACTATTTTTCGTTGCAAACAATGCTAGCAGCTGAGCAAGTGACGACCGTATTCCGACCGAAACCCCTTTACTCGTATACGTATATTACAGAGTACTGAGTACCCTGAACCTGATTCAAAACTGAGCTTCCCGTAACAAATTACGGTACATAAAAGTCCCCCGCAGTGTCGCATTGTAAACCGTCATCATTCCATTTGCGCCAGCCGCGCACCAAAGCCTCCGCCACAGATAAAAGCCCGTGCAAACGTGACTACACTCGTAAAGGAACATTCGAACCCCGAAGTGGAAGGCTTTGCTCAACTTCTGTGAAGATGCACTTATCGATAGTTGTCACCTTGTTATACCGATATAATTCTGCTACCAAGTTTATTCTCTTGGTCTGCAGAGTTGAAAACTTTGCCAGCGACAGAACAGCTCCAGAATAAGCTACCTTCCAGTGTGGAGCAGTTAAAATTTGTATTTAATGTGCACACATGAAGTTCAGTGGAAGTTGAATTTTTCATGATATATTAACGATCAAATTATTGGAACATGTAAGATCGCAGCTCCAACACTGAGAAAAATCCTGACTCCGCATGACACCCCCAGGGGGAGTTCACCAAAACGACACCCAAAAACTCCCAGGTGGTACTCCTCATTACACCGCCTCCAAAACTCTCCATTACACCCCAAAACTTCCCTCGAGAAACTCTCTGCAACTCTCCCTACCGTTTTAGAAAACTCTTCATTTCTCTCCTTTACCCTATCAAAACAAACAACATACTCCCTGAAACTCCCTTCCATTACTCTCAATGACTCTCTTACTGCCTCATAATTACTCCCAATTACTCCATTCCATTATTCCCCAAAACTCCGTTTACAGCTTCATGGTATACCTCTAGTTACTCCCAATCAAACTCACCCAAACTTCCCATCACTCCACTCCAGCCCCCCCCCCTCGAAAATAAATATTGGACGAATAGCGTAACCACCCAAAGCTCGTGTACCGAAGCACAGATAAAAAAAAATATAATTTCAAGAAATGTGTATTCATAGTCCGGGGCGGTGGGAGGCTCAAAAAATTGATAAACGCTTTCAACATTCCGCCGCGGCACGCTCTCCGGGGATCTCACTCCATATGCTACACGGTCGCGAGTTCTGACGTTAAAGATCCAAAAGGCGGCCTACCACAGCAGGAATGCTTGGTCTGGTGGTGCCGCTACCACCTCCTGGGCCTCGACGAATACTGCGTCTTCTTCGTCCGGCTCTCCTTTCACGATGGTGGGATGGATATTTTGCGGGCCTCCGTTGGCTTCCGACGTGTCTTGCGGGATGCGATGCAGGCTCTCCAGCTCATCCCCTGCAAAATGTTAATAACCATGAAATTATAGGTACACTTAACATTGCGTGGAAGGAAATAGAGGAGAAAGAAAAAAGAGAAGGAGGGAAATTATGAAGGAGGGAGGGAGGGAAGGAGGGGAGGGATGAAGGAAGGAAGGAAGGAAGGAAGGAGGGAAGGAAGGAAGGAAGGAAGGAAGGAAGGAAGGAAGGAAGGAAGGAAGGAAGGAAGGAAGGAAGGAAGGGAGAGAGGGAGGGAGAGAGGGAGAAAGAAAGGGAGAGAGAGGGGAGGGGAAGTAGGGAGTGAGGAAGGAAGCGAGGAAAGATGGAAGGAAGAAATGAGGGAGGAGACTGAGAGGTAGGCGAACGAGACGAGACACACGCGACCTGACATGTCGAGGGAAATTATGTATGATATTTGCCAATTCCTAGAAACTCAGAGCATGCTTTTTCCGATCTTTATCTCACTCAGGAACGAAGCAAATCGATTACCCTTACAAAGACCATTCCAGCCCATCAAGAACATGGGGTTACCATATGTTCTCATCACAGCATTATAACACTTTGCACTATTAAAGCATGATGAGAAATATAGCTAAGCTTACCTTTAAATCCAAAGTAAGGTCCAATTATCCGTCAATGTAGAGGTCAGGTCCGTCTAAGTCAACACGCTCTTCACTAACACCTCGCCCGCCGCCCCGCACAACGTGCTGTATACTACGCGCAAAAGATGGCGGCCACCGGCAGCCTCGCGACGTATGCTAAAACCGCTTCGTAACTCCCCTTTTACTCCTGTCGGAACGTTCGGGAAAGGTTTTTCGGGAGTAATGGAGAGTTGCGTCACAGAGTTATGGGGTGTCACACATGGAGTCATTTCGCCATCCATTAAGAACTCTTAACCCTCGCCCGCACATGGGGGGGGGGGGGTGGTTGCCACCCCCCCCCCCAGGCAGTCTTTCTGCTCTGCACTCAACATTTTTAGAGCTAGAAGGCTGACTTTTCGTATAGCTGCTCGTCTATCCTTTCTTGATGTCCACTGAAAATTTCAAGTTTCTGTGATTTTTGGTTTCGGAGATATGACCTTGTTTTTCAGGTCATGTCATGACCCAAATGACCAATTCTCAACATCTTGCGTTTGCCATGGGCCTTGTGAGCTTTTGACACCCTGATTTCGGCCTTTTTTGCCAGTCTTACCTCCCACCTATCATGGAACATGTTGTTCGACGATGTACAGGGGTCAAGGTCAGGGTCAAGGTCAACCTAGGTCATCTAAGATAATTGCGTTTTAGGCAAGCTGAATTTACTTTTTGTGAAGTTTTTTGACTGCATTTTTGGTAAAAGCTTCTCAGATCATGATTTCATGTGATATGGACCCAAAAACAATCGGTGCACACATCAGTATACACACAGACACACACAGACATACAAACACATATAATTGACCTTGACCTAACTTGACCTGAAATGACCTCAGCAGCAAAATTCTGGTCGGATAGTGTGACAAAGAGGTTCTAGCTGGCTTGGCACCAGAAAACAGCATCGTCATCGGTATTTGATAAGCAGCGCACTTGATATCCAACGGTGACCCAAAACAGCAACATTTTTTAGTTTGACCTGACCTGGAAGGTCAATGACTGACCTGAGAAGGTAAAACTGGGTATCATTGGATTTGTCTCTTCCCAAAGAATCTTTTTGGTCTTTACTACTAAGCTCTATCTCCAACAGGAACGAAATGGCGCGGGGGGGGTGGCAACCACCCCCCCCCCCCCATATGCGTTCTAGGATGGGAAAATGGCTGTGCGGGCGAGGGTTAAAATCTCTTTCGCAAAATGAGGAAGGCTCAAAGTTACCCTAAAACACACTCAATAGCTCTGCTGTAAAGGGTGTTATCGATGGTTTTCAGGAGTTATCAGGGGAGCATTTTCAAGAGTTTTGACCCATATGGAGTCAATTTTTTTCTCATGTGAACATGGTTTGCAGATGCAGATGCAATTTTTCGTGTCATGGATGATAACTATCCTAAATATAAAAGCACAATACGCTGGTGCTAGCCGATCGTGTCTCAGCTAAAAATGAATCGTCCGTCTATGCCAGGTAAATCATTCTAGCTTTTTTATACGATTGCCGGAGTGTGGCGGCCTAGAGCAGGGGCTTACATCTGCTTGTTGCATTAGCTGTCAAGAAAGAGGCTGTGTTTAACTATGGTTATATCCCCACTCTACAGCCGTGTGTCGCGTGTCCGCAAAGATCGACCCATTTTGTGTATTTATTTGCGTACTTATTTATCTTTTATATGTTTATTATTTATTTATTAATATTCATTTATTTATTTTAATTTATTTACTAAATTCTTTATTTCTATTTGTTTATTTTTATCTATTTATTTATTTATTTTTTTATTTATTTGATTATCAATTTATTTACTTATTTATTCACTTATTAACCCGCGCCCTGCTGGGGGAGGGGGGTGTTTGAACACCCCCCCTTGTGGTTTTTCGCGAATATCTCAAAAACGGCGGCGCGGAGCGCCGCCGTTTTTGGTACACCTTATCATACATCAATTCTACACATGTTGTGAAAATTTCAGACCAAGGTCATTCAAGGTCAGGTCACCAGGTCACTTGAAGTGACCTCACCTCATAAAAAGTTTCAATGTCTGTCATAGCTACACCGAGTGACCGATCGCTTTGAAACTTTCAGCGATTGCTAAGAGCAATAGCATGTACAAAATGTATATCTCAGAATTTTGATATCGATGACATAAGGTCAGGTCAATTTTGCGACCTCCCCATTATAAGTCAATGGGAGAAAATTGAAATGCGCCTCTTTTGGACGAAAGACATTATAAACACTCCCAAACACTGAATTGCAAGTGGTTTAGACACACTGAACATAAAAATGGTGTCCGTGACCCCTGTTTATGCCCTGAGGTCATCTAAGGTCACGAATGGTATCTAACAGTTTTTCGCAAATAACTTTTGATAGAGGCATGCTAGAGCGATGAAAACGCCTTAGATGTGTTCAGCTCGACGATACGGATCGACTGATATGCAATGGCCGTTTTCACGACGGAACTTTCGCAGAGGAACTTATTTGATACCTAAAAAGTACCTACCCTTAGAGGCCTTAACATCCCTCAAACTGAAATATTTTATGTTCAAAATAATTTTAGAAGTTTAAATCCGGGCATTTTTTGCCCTCAAATCACTTATTTATTTACAAACACAGCAATTTTTGGTTCTAGTAGCCCACCTTTCGACTATGAGGTATTAAATCAGCGTGGCAACTTGCTCCCTCTTTGCTCCCTCGGGTATCTAATTCCGGAATTCTTAAAAACAAGGAAAGTATATATCGAGTTCTATTTTATACCTATTCAGTTATGTTTTAATGGTGATTAAAAGATGACAAATTTTTTAATTACATTTCATATAAGAAAACACGCAAAACAATGAAACAAAAATAACTACGACAGATAATTACCTTCAGGTATCTTATTCCGACCAATCAGCACCTCAGTAGGATATGACGTCATACAAGAATGGTGGTGAAGGCCGTTTGCAGTCCCGGCCGGTAGGTCACGTGACCGCCGGGCGCCTCGGGTCACGCGGCGGTCGGGAGTCGGACGCGGGGCGTGGTCGCGGGCGGACGCGCGGGGCATCATGCTTTGCTTTGCTTGCTTTGTCAACTTCATATAACTTACTATCGCATTCGTGTGAAAGCCAAACACTACTCAGTGTCCTTAGAAATTGAGTTTTGGAAAGCTCAAGTCCCTATAGCTCCTCAGGTCGGCAACAGTTGAAGCCTCATCTGAACCCATGTGAAAAAAAAAAACGAGGGTAAGGAACCTTGTGTTGCTTTTTCTTTTACCGTCATAATTATCTCAAACCATCACAATTTTGAGTTGCCACATTGTCTGCTTCACTACATTCGTGTAAAACTTGGGTGAAGGCTGGTGGCTCAAAGAAAGGTGAAGATATTTCTTTAAGTGCCTAATCCGTGAAATTGAAATATCCCGGCTTTACAAATCTACACTTTTAATTTTCTCCACGATACATTTTTTAAAATTGTTTAAATTTTATCTACATTTGTTAAAATCGGGGCTTTGGTTTTGTGTAAACTAGATCATAAAGTTTACTATAGTTTTGTGTAACCTGATGGCTGAAGAAAATAGTAATTTTGCTAAAATGATGTGCGGAAATTTGTTGCTTTCCAAATCAAATTACTCATACCTTTATTTCATTCAAAATTAGGAGGCATTATTACCGTTTTTTCTTGTAACATGAACTGAGTTTGGGTACGGTGCTCCGGAAACGTTGTGGAACTTTAAGCTAGCTAGAGCAGTTTCCATAAAAATTGTTTAGATAGTTGACATGGCTTGTTGACAACTCTTTTGCTGTTTCTAAAAAAGTGGAAAAAATATTTTCCTGCATTAAGCACACAAGGCATGTTATTCTCATAAGCTATCGAATGTGTGTGTGTTTTTTTAAGCTGTTTTTTTTAAAGCTTTTAAGCTGTAACTTCAGTTACTTCACTTTAGAACATATTGCCCAGAATGCGTCACTGATCATGAGCTGGTATATCATATCATATGTAGCAAATACATAAATGAGAATAGTGTGTCATGAATTTTTGTGCATGCTTCTGGATCATCTGTAATTACATCAAAGGCTCAGCACAAGAGTGTCCTGCCGACCAGCTTATGCCCAACCCTTTCTGTCCGCAGAACGTCGCCTGCGACTCCCGCACGCCGTTTGCCCCGGCCGTCCGTACTGGTCTTCGCGCTGCGAGCCGCGCTGGAGTTCGCGGCGGCGTCGTGGAGCTCCCATCGGGACGGCGTGTGATGCCCGCGTCGAGCTTATAAGCCGTGAGCTTCGATTGGCGGCTCACGCGGTCACCAGCTGTATGTACAGCCTCGGCCCCGACGACCCCGCTAATGGCCGAGACCGGCATACCCCCGGCATGGGTCCGCTGTCCGGCGCAGCGCTGGCCGCCCGCATGCTATGCTACTTTTGGCTGTATCGCTGCCCAGCGGGAGCGCGCTCCACGCTGCGGAAGAGGTACACGTTGCGACCCGACTGAGGACTGCAACCGGATGGTGACACGTCGGCCTCTGCGCCCTGGCCGGGCAGGCGTGACCGACGTCACAGTGGAGGAACGCCCAAACAAGACCAGCCCACCGTCGGAGCAGCATGGAAATATCATGTTCTGCCTGGACGTCGGACCCGGCGGCCGCAGTGCACCTGCACACGTGCGGAGAGGGGCACTGGAGGCTACTCTGGAGCTTCTGCCATTCCGCGGCGCGACTGCTGGCAAAACGGCGGCGATTGAGGCGGTTGGGAACAGCTGCAGCAATGGTGATGGCGGTGATGGCGACATGGCGGTTTGGGACTTCATCTCAGCGCGGCCGCCGCCCAGGCGCCGCTGCGCCCGGCTGCTCAGCCACCTACCGGATGGCGGGGTGACCCTTACGGCCCTCACGCCCGTTCGGTCTGCGGCCACGTTGTGGGGTGGCGGTCGCGGGGTTAGCGGCGTTGGACTTCGTCCTTTATCCAGACTGCACCGTACCATCTGAACGGATGGATCTGCCAAGAAAGATGACATCCAAGGCGGCTATGAGGCGATCACAAAGCTTCACCAAGAGCTTCTCCTTCATGGGGCCGGCCGGCCGTTAAGTCGCAACACCGGCTGCCGAGTGCCAACAGCTGCGTGCGCTGGCGCCGACGCGTTGTGGGCCGCGCTGCTGACGCCCAAGCTGCGATATCAACCATCTATGAATAAGTGGCAGCGGTGGCGGCTTGTCAGTTGTTAACGTGCCTTAACAGACGTTGCGAATAGCCCGCGTTGGAATCGCATGGTTGGGAACACAACGCAAGTAAAAATGGGCTTCCTTGATGAACCTACTTTTTAAGCATTGTAGCCTTTGTAATTTTGGATGTTTTGCTGTAGATATTATTTTCTACATATATACTATATAGGCACTCACGTGCTTTAAATCGCGCAATGCAATTGAACCATGGTAAAGACAATGATAAATGAACTGAGAGCTGACATGCCCCATGCTTTGTGTGTGTGTGTGTGTGTGTGTGTGTGCGTTTGTAAGACCAGCGTAGTGGTGCCCTTTGTCCGATACACCTACGCGAAGTGGTGCCCGTTTGCATAGTGGTGCCCGAAAATCGGGCACCACTATGCTGAGCATCACAACGCCTTCCTTATGTCGTGATATAACGTCTGTATAAATATCAGATGGGCCCCTTTTTACTGGATTTTGCCATAAAGAGTGTGACTCAAGGTCACGTGACTTCCCTCGCGTTCACACAAATCCGCCGGGCATTTCAGCTTTCTGCTGTGCCATATTGATGACGTATGAAAGAGATGGTACTTTGTGATGATGGAATGGGTAGGTATTTTGCATGTACAATTGCAAATATTTTGATGTTTTCGGTTTTGGGTGGCAGGTAGATTAAATAATAACAAATTCATACCTAGCGTTTTTAAATAGGTAGTAAATAGGCACCTTGAAATGACAACACGCCCATCCAGAAGTACTGGTGTCCAGCTCTATCAACTACCAGTCCGCCATTCGCGCGCTGGGCGACTTCGATTTGGACGGTAAGATCTAGGCAATTGTCTATCAATAAAAATGCTAATTTGAATTGTTTTGAGTGTTAAATGTGCAGATGCCTTGTACTTAAAACCATTTATGTCTATCTAATGACTCAAAATGACGTTATCCCCACGGTTTCTTTTGTTGCCCGCGTCGCTTTGGTCTCGGCAGTTGCTAAATATAAAATGCCTGAAAATGCCTACCTATCGGCTTGAATGTTTTACTTATCATAATAGAGGTAACATCGAAAATATTTATTTGAATATTTATCTGGATGATATGAATATTACAAGAAAATAGTAAAACAAGAACTTAATATAAATACAATTGTCTTTTTACTCGTAAGAATGACTATTCTTCAAAAATGAGCCAAATGGCTGTTCCATTTTTTGTAATTTGTTAAATCCTGGCGCAATTCATGTATTTTCTTTTGTAGTAGGTATCGTATCCAGATTTAGTGCCTGTTAACGTTTGAATCCAGCCTCAGGATTACATTTGTAAATTACCTAATATCTAGGTGAAATGCTTGGTGTTTGATATTGCACAAACGTTAGTCGCAAAGCAGGCGTCACACTCCTTTTTGCAACCGAGGAGAGGCGCTATACCCAGAGAGCTTTCTTATCAAGCCTAACCAAACCAAAAATAACTAAACCTAACCTAACCTTATCTACAACCTACAACCTAAAATCTACCACCTACAACCTGAAACCCACAACCTACATCCTAACCTACAGCACCTCCCCTTGGTTGCAAAAAAATAAGCATGATGCCTGCTATACCTAGTACCAGTGGTGGATCCAGGGAGGGGGGGCAAAATGGGCATTTTCCCCTCCCAAACGGCATAATTTTAACATTACGCCTATGGACGAGGCATGGAAAGAATCAATAAATTGTTATGGTTTGCCCCCCCCCCCAAAAAAAAACTGAGATGGATCCACCACTGTATACTACTACCGCACAAACTTGCTTTTTTGGTCTTGGGCCAAAAGTAAGTTCTTGACCCATCAGTAGGTAAGTCACTTGGGCTTAGCGACAAGGACAAAAATGAACTTTGCTTTTGAGCATGGAAAAAGGTCACTTGGATTTTGGGGTCAAAAGCAGCCAGCCTTTGAACTTTGCGACAAGCTTTTATGGACTTGGGCAAATGTCGCCTTTGAACTTAGCAACAAGTCACTTTTGGGGTTAGTGTCAAAATTTGCTTTTGGGCATAACGGAAAGGTCGCTTTTGGATTTTAGGTATTGAAGCTGCTTTTTGGCTTAGCGACAAATAATTTTTTGACTTTATTTAGCAAATGTCATTTTTGAGTTCGCGAGAAGTTACATTTGGGTTTAGGGTCAAAAGTCGCTTTTGGATTTTAGGGGCTAAGGCAGATTTTTGACTTAGCGACAAATAATTTCTTTACTTTGGATAAATTTCGCTGTTGAGCTTAGCGACTACTCGCTTTTGGGTTTTGAGTCAAATTTGCTCTTGGGCATAGCAGAAAAATAGCTGATGGATTTTAGGGGCTGAAGCAGCTTTTCAGCTTAGCAAAAAAAAATTGACTTTGTGGAAATGCCGCTTTTTGGCATAGCGACAAGTTACTTTTGAGTTTAGGATCAAAATTTGCTTTTGGACATAGAGGAAAAATAGCTTTGGATTTTAGTGACTAAAGCAGCTTGTGGGCTTAGCGACAAATAATTTTTGAACTCGGGACAAATTTCTCTTTTGACCTTACCTTAGTGAGAAGTCGCTTTTGGGGTTGGTGACAAGATTTGCTTTTACGCACAATGAGTCTTTTGGGTTTGGGGGGCAAAAACCCAACTTTTGGCTTTGAACGGGGTCTTTGTACATGGAAGATAATGTTCAGTGAAATGAATACCTATCTATGGTTTTTGTGTGAATAATGTAGGTCAGTTTTTACCAAAATATAAAATCTCCACCAAAATAATCCAAAATAAGAAAATAAAGTACCTTGTTTACCTATCGCCCAAGTTTAACTGTGAGTCTGTGTTGCCAAGCCAAGTGCCATTGTACCTATAGGTACCTGTTTACAAGGGCAGTTCCTAACTTGAATTTTTTTTTTACTGATTCTGAATTGCATAGAACATATATCTTATCTTTTTTCTCCATCTTCAGAAGGTAATATTCTCAGTGCTAAGGCACCCATTGCCTATAGCATTTGTGTTGTGTGTAAATCACAGGTAATTATTGTGAAATAAATCTTGCAGACTGACTGTGTAGAACTTCAGTGGACTGGAACCAATCAGGACTCTGCTTTACCAAATTATTACAATTGCAAGTTGCAACTGATTCTGCTTCAGACCCCTAAAGTACATTCTTTTCTGGGCGCTGGTGTCTGATGCCAGAGGCTGGCCAATATCTACCTTTTTATGATATTAGCAAAAACTAACTGGCGGATGCAGCTGTCCATTATGGGAAGGGGGGGGGGACCACTTGGGACAAGGACGATTTTCATGCTCAAAAAGATGTTGAGTGGAGGGATATGCATTCCGCAGTTTGCAGGCCACTTGCCGCAGTGGGCGTTAGCTGGTGCTTGTTCGGCCGGCTCGGCGCACCGGTAATCGCGGCAGCGCCTGGGCCAGCGGCTTGACACGGCCATCTTTGGTGACAACCAGCATCACGTGTTGTACTACCTGCGCGGCCGCTGCAGCGTGCTCGACGCGAACGCACTCTCGCTCCGGCCGCAACTGGTGGGTGCCGAGCCTCTGAACCCGTGGGCGGACGGTGAGGCGCTCCAATATCGGCAGGTTGGCCACCGGGCCGAGCGCAGTAGCGTCGCCAACAGCTGCAGCTGCCAGACGCGCTGCAACTTGCAGCCGCGTTCTCTGGACGACTTGAGCTGCGTGCAGGCTAACCTGTGTGGAGTGTGGTGGTCTTGTTATGGTGGCCGCTGCGGTCCCGTACCGCCACGGTTATCGCTGGCTGTGGGCCGCTGTGTCAGCAGCCGCGCGACCCGTGCCGACTGGGCGCGCCCTGCGGACCGCAGGAAGGGCACCTACAGGCGCAGCGCCGCCACCCGGCCCAGCTACAGCTGCCACTGCGAGCTGCGGCCCGGTTACACGGCCGCCGACCCGCGCTGCGTCCTGGACGACGCCTGTCTGGCCCAAGCGCCCTGTCTGCACGGCGACTCGTGCACGCCCGGCTGGGCCGATAACACAGCGTTGCAGAGTTCGTTTTGGCTCGGTTTCGAGCTCGGCTTCTCGTTTGGTAATCGGGTCTACCGTCTAGCTAGATACTCGTGGTTGTCGGCTATAGCTATATTCGTTCGATTCCGGGGAGAGAACTTCGGTCGGGTCGTCTCCCCAGCGACACTCTGGTGACAACTGAAACGGGCAGTGGCGGCGGAACACCTTCAATTAAGGGGGGGGGGCACTGTCGACTTTTGGTCCCATTCTTTCCATGCAACGCCCATAGGGCTAATGTTAAAATGTCAAAATCAAAGGGGGGCACTGTGCCCCGGTGCCCTCCCCGTTCCGCCGCCTATGCAAACGGGGTCGGAAGTATGCACCACGGTCAGGGCCACACATGGGCTGGGCCCCACATGGACTGGACTGCCGCGCCCTGCAGACGGAAACGGACGGAGAGAGTTAAACAACACCGACGTTAAAATACCATCAGACAGCGAATAAGAGGGAGAAACAGGTGATAATCAAGAAGGTCACAGTAATGCCGGCATTTTGAAGAACATAGGAAAATCGCGACAGGCTTGTACGGAACACACAGCTTTACGTGAACGACAGTCTGGTCGGGTGCACGGTTGAGGTGCCTCACGAATCACGATCCCTGTGGCTGCGTTCAGGAGCCGGATGTGGAGCCGGATATGAACCTGCGACGTCGGAAGCGGCTGCTTGCGCGACCCCAGCTCAGCCCCGAAAGTACTATCTGGGCTTGGGTGCCAGTGGGAAAATGTAAAATTCTGCTGCCAAACGGACCATGCGAGTGGAAAGTTCAGGCCTGTGAAATTATACTAAATAGAAAATTCATATATTTTTTAAAGTAAATGCGCTAAACGCATTTATATATCATTATTATTATTATGGGATAAACAATGGGAACTATTTTTAATTATATTTTCTTCTGAATGGCTACACGTGTTTCGACAAAAAATGCATTTTTCAAGCCCTAATATCCAAATTACAAAAATTAAAACATTGGCCCAAATACACATCATGCAAGTGAATAAAGTGACATAACAGACAGTAAATTCGTTCGAAGAAACATGTCGCATTCTATGTCGCACCCCTGTTCGCCAGATCCCTTACGAGTAGCTGAGCCGTGTACCTACTACCTACTGAGTTTCACTTTACCAACATTGCCATTGAAAGTTAAAAACGGAGAAATGAATACTGCCTCTAAAGCCTGTCTATGTTTCTTTTGCAACCCTTTACACAAAATTGAAGTTCCATTCCTGTCTGGAAGGTGACCTGCCTCGTCGACATGGTGTACAGTATGTAACGTACCCAAGGGGGGCCACGGGGGCCATGCCCCCCCCCCCCCTGAGCGCCGAAGGCGCGAGGGGGCCCCTGCGGTCCAGGGATAACTCTGGTGAACCTGCACGCCGAAGGCGTGCAGGTTCACCAGAGTTATTCGGATCCCCGTGCCTTAATTCCAATACTAGACAGAACGTCTTTTACTCGAAAGAAAAAAAATATCAAAGAGGGATTCCGTCACAGTGACGAGCCCACAGCACCCCATCCTAACTGAGGGCCACTGGTTACCTGAGGGGTCCCCTGGTCACCTCAGGGTCCTTGGGCCATCTGAGGGGCCCTGGTCACCTCAGGGGCCCCTTGGTCACTTGAGGGGCCCCTGGTTACCTTACTGGTCACCTGAGAGGCCCCCTGGTCAACTGATTGACTCCTAACCACCTGAGGCCTCCTTGGTCACCTGAGGAGCCCCCTGGTCATCTGAGGGGTCCCTGACCACCTGAGGGGCCTCCTTGTCACCTGAGGGGCCCCTGGTCACTTGAGGGACCTCTGGTCACCTGAGGGGCCCCCTAATTACATCACTGGGTCACCTGAGGGGCTCCCTGGTCATCTGAGCGGCCCTTGATCATCTGAGGGACCTTTTGGTCACCTGAGAGGCCCCCTGGTTACCTGATGAGCCCCTGATCTCCTGAGGGGCCCCCTAGTTACCTCACTGGTCACCTGAGAACCCCCTGGTCATCTGAGCGGATCCTGACCATCTGAGGGCCCCCTGGTCACCTGAGGGCCCCCTGTTCATCTGAGGGCCTCTGTCCACCTGAAGAGCCTCTTGGTCGCATTAGGGCCCCCTGGTCACATATATGGTGCCCCTGGCTGGCTATCTGAGTGGCCCTTGTCACCTGAGGGGCCCCTGGTTACCTGATGGGCCTCTTGGTCAGCTGAGGGACCTCCTGGTCACCTGAGGGGCCACCTGGCCACATAGGGCCCCTGAATATGAGGGGCTCCTGGCTATCTGAGGGGTACCTGGTTATTTGACGGGCCCCTGATTATATGATGATTCCTACTTACTTGAGGGGCCTCTGATCACCTGGTTGGCCACTGGGCAGTGGTCTGAAGTAACCCTGGTCGGTCACCTGATGGACCGTGTTTAACCGGGAAGTGTCTGGTTATCTGCAAGGCCCCTGCAGCCATATGAAGGCCCTTAGTTACCCGAGGTGCCCCTGATGTAACTGGCCCCTGTTGATAAGAGGGTTCCCTGGTCACTTAGTGGGATCTGGTCAATTGAAAGTCCCCTAGTCACCTGAGACGCCCCTGATTAAGGGGGTCCCTGATCACTTGGATTCAGTGGCATAGCCAGGGGGCTAGTGGGCATGTGCCCGTTATCGGGTTTAGGTTCCATCGGGCCCGAGGGGCCCTATGGTGCCAATTGGCGGCAGAGGGTCCACGCTGACCATCCTTCAATTGAAAAGGACGCGGCAGGGCTTGAGAGAGCAACTCGTGGGCTCTAATGTAGCCACACTTATCTCCAGAAGGGCCCCACACTCGCTTCTGAGGAACCTTTGCCGGCCTCCGATGGCCTAGCTGGCCAATGAGGGATCAGTAAGAGCCCCACATCCGTATGTTATGGCCTCACGACCCACACCAGTGCTTCTGAGTGCCCTCATAACGGCGCCTGCGAAGGCCCTCACCGCCACCTCTAAAGGTCGCCGTCCATTGGTTAGGAGCGTATTTTGCGCATAATCATCCATGCCTAGTGCGCACTGAAAACTTGAAGTAGTTTAAGTCGTCAGGAGAAGTAAAGTAATCTTGAGTCGTCAGCGCATGATTCGACGCCCAACAGCCGGCAAATAATCAGCTGAATCGCGCTTTCCGATAGGCGTTATCACAAGTGTATTCGCGGCCATTGGGGCGACGTAAGAAAAGAAGAAACCAACTGGCCCCAAGAACTTTAAATTATCAGTTAGCATGCACCTTTTCCTTGATGTGTAGAGTATTTACCATTATTTGTTGCAGAAAATTGCATTTAAAATCTTCCATTTATGCTTTTTTCATCGTTTGCGAAATATGTTCTTTTACTAAGCTAGAAACACTAATTAGAAATAGTTCCCGCATCATCAAGAACAATAGGGAAGGCTTGAAGTGAATAAAATAATTCAAACGGTTTTGTAATCTATGTGAAGGCACTTCTAAAATTGCCTGTAGAAATATTGAAGGCAAAAGTTCAACTTTTTCACAAGAAGGATGTCTATAAACCTATTTAACTTGTGACAACTCAGCCGGTATTTCGTCGCCTACAGCCCAGCTTTCCCTAGTGACCGATAGAGGCGCTGCTATCGATGTCCGCCCGTGCCGCCTAACGCGGCGCTGAACGGCATTCGGCGCGCAGCTCATAGACCCCAACGTTAAATTCAGCGCATATTCAAGCAGTGGACGGCGGCCTTTAGCGCCCCACACCAGTGCCTCTTGAAGGCCCGCATTTGCGGTTCTAAGAGCCCCCACACCGGCGCCTTTGAGAGCCCTCCGGTAGCGCATCTGACGGCATTTACCAGCGACTCTGGCCGGATTCTGAGTGTCCCTTGTCGGCCTATGAAGAGCCACCAGTAACTTTCAGCCCAGGTCCCCACAGGCACAGTACCACACATGCCTATGATGGCCCCCACCAGTGTCTCTAAGCCCTAAGGCCCCCACAACGGCGCCTGTGAGGACCCCATACCATTGCATCTGATGGTCTTTCACTGGCACCTCTGAGCGCCCCAGACCAGTGCGAGGGACCTACACCGGCGACTCTGAGGCGTTCGCTCGCTACGCTTGCTCATAAAATTATGTGCATATTATGCATACCTTTCAGGCAAAATGACGTTTTCGACTTCCAATTTTCCACATTTTCTTAGGACTAAGACCGTTACAGATGGGCCCGTCTGCAAGGGACGACTGGGCCCACTGTACCCAGCCCCCCATGAAAGGTTCTGGGCACGCCCCCTGCCATAGGCGGCGGAACGGGGGGCACCGTGCCACCCCTTGATTATGGCATTTAACGTTAGCCCTGTGGGCGTTGCATGGAAAGAATGGAACCAAAAGTCGGCAATGCCCCCCCCCCCCTTAATTGAAGGTGTTCCGCCGCCACTGCCCCTGTCTGAGTTGGCAGGGGTCAGGGGTCTCCCGGATGACCAGTGGGCCCTTTGAGAGCAGGTGGCCCCTTCTGGGCAAAATCATGGGTATGTGCCTGATGCTGTACAAATGCATTAGACAATCTATGATGCCTAAGATCGCTCTTGTGCCATCTATGCCTCTAAATGTTTCACCTATGAAACTTTTATCGCATGCACCACACGGAATTTGTAAATCACACTGCCCTAGCTATCGGTGGCTTTCTTCTTTCTTGACTGAACTAGGTTCTTGGTCGGCAGACCGGCTGGAGATGAAATATTGAATGATCATTTCACAAATCTTCCTATAACTTCAGCTTCCTTTGATGCCGGTACCGAGAGGTAGTTCTTTTTGCCGTTTCTTCTTTCTCTTGCCCTTCTTCGAATTTTTATCACTTTCTTCTCTAAACTATATAGGAGGCCTGGTGGTACTTGAGCTTAATAAATACTTTCTTGTTCTATAAACTGTTAAGAGCAAATACGAAAGGCCCGTAGATATAAGCCCAATTACCACTTCTGTTTTCGTTCGGCTTCTGTGGGCTGAGTGAATTAGGTCATTTTTTTGTTGGTCGGCTTTCTGTGAACTGAGAACGCCGCCTTTTTGCTACGGTTCCAGATACGCGTGTCCAAAAATGCTAGCGTACCGTTATCTTCCTCTTCGCAGGTAAATTGTATCTTTGGGTGAACGTTGTTGATCTGGCCAAGCAGACATCAAATCCTTGTCGTTGTTTGTGATGATCAAGGTGTCGTCGACATACCGGAACCAGGTAGTATCGGTTCCGGCTATGCGTAGAAAGTGATTTGCTTCTAATATTTCCTAAATATGCAGGCGAGTACCGGGTTCAAAGGTGACCCCATCGCCGGTCCGTCAATCTGCTTGAATTCAGCGCCTTCGAACTCGAGGGCGCCGAACTCCACACAGAGACGTACTAGCCGAATGGAATCAGCTTTGGGCACTGGCAGAATGATGTCTGGGTTCTGGTCCAGTGCCCTTGAGTCGCCCCAGCTATAGGCACGTTGGTAAACAACGCCTTGACATCAAAACTTGCGAGCTTCTTGTCTTTGAGATCTTTGCGGTTTAGAAAAGAAGGCGATCAAAATTCGAAGAAGGGCAGGAGAAAGAAGAAACGACAAAAATAACTACCTCTTGATACTGGCGTCAAAGGAAGCTGAAGTTATAGGAAGATTTGTTGAAGGATCATTCAATATTTCATCTGCAGTCGGTCTGACAGTCAAGAACCTCGTTCAGTCAAGAAAGAAGAAAGCCACCGAGAACCAGGGCAGTGTGATTTACAAAATTCCGTGTGGTGCATGCGATAAAAGTTACATAGGTGAAACATTTAGAGGCAAAGATACGCGGACAAAAGAGCACAAGAGCGATCTTAGGCATCATAGACTGTCTAATGCATTTGTATTTTGTACAACATGTCGACGTGGCAGGTCACCTTCCAGACTGGAACGGAGCTTCAATTTTGTGTAAAGAGTTCCAAAAGAAACATAGACAGGATTTAGAGGCAGCATTCATTTCTACACTTTCAACTTTGAACGGCAGTGTTAGTAAAGTGAAACTCAGTAGGTACGCGGCTCAGCTACTTGAAAGGGATCTGGCGTACAGGGGTGCGACATAGAATGCGACATGTTTCTTCGAAGGAATTTACTATCAGTTATGTCACTTCATTGACTTGCATGATGTGTATTTAGGCCAATGTTTTAAATAATGTCATTTGGATATTAAGGCTTGAAAAAATATTTTTTTGTCGAAACACGTGTAGCCATTCTAAAATAATATAATTAAAAATAGTTCCCATTGTTTATCCCATGACAATACTACTTGTCATCAGATCTTATTAATAGATACCATTCATGATTGGATTGAAAATAACGCAAGCAAAGGTCTTAGCACCAAAGCGAACTTATAATTTGACCACATGTGCTACCTGGAAGTAACATCACATGCACTTTTTGTGGGTGGCTTCTTGTGCGACTGCAAGCGACGGCGTCCTCGCACGGCTCGGCTAGCTGCGCCGTGCGAGGACGACCCACGCTGCCTCGTGTACGATGTGTGCTTGGCCGGGCCGCCGTGCGCCGCCGGAGCCCGGTGTCTCTCACTGGTGTCTTCCAACAATGCATCCCTCCCCCCACAACTCACTTCACACAAACACATTTTGTGTCACTATTTTACCAAGTTTCACCTCCGTCCTGTTGCGGTGCCCTTCACTCAGCGACAGATTGTATTCTATCCCGTGAGGACGCCGTTCTGACTACGTACATCGCCTTTTTTCGGCTGCGAAGTCAACCCTCTGACCAATAATGATGATTTTGTTTGGCCTGTTCCAGCAGACAATCCCAGGTCGATGTCCGTACTCTCACGTCCGTCCGCGAGTTGTCGCGCGGTCCACCAGGGAGAGGTGGCAAGCAGACTGTCCAACTGGCTGGTACTGCATCGTTATAGGGGACCGCTGGTCCGAGCCGCTACCAGGAAGGAGGCTGTTGACACTCATCAGCTCTGGTCGGGCCACTGGGGATGATCGGAGCAGTATCTTCACCGGATTGAGAGGAGATCAATGTCCGAGTTCGCCTAATGTAACGACAATAAATGCCAAGCTGGCCGCTGCCTGGTCTGCGGTGAAGCAGTGGACACCTAAGCGCACGTGTTGCCGGAGTGTCCGTGCTTTTACGGCCCTCGGCTGTGTGCGCTATGGAACATCGTCGGCGCGGCCCTCGATGTCAAGCGCGACGACGTGGTGGTGACCTTAGCCGCCGGCTACGAGGCCCGCAAGAGGCTTGTATTGGCTACGGCGGTAGCTGTGGGGACACAGCAACAACGACATCAACAGCTGGCGGCGGAAGTGGCCCCGGAGCTACGCACCTGCGGACAGAGCTACCGCTGATCCACATCTCAGCTGATGATGCTCAACAGGTGGGTACTGTGTGTGGGGGGGGGGAGGGGGGAGGGTACCGAAGGAAGCTAGGTCATGTTCGCCCAGATGTGTATGTTGAAATGGCTCGGCTGATAGTTGGTGCATCTGTTGTGGGGCTAGTGGGGAAATCTCGAGCCTCGTATAGCAGTTGTGCGACAATTGTGTACCGTACCATGTACCGCCAGCGACGTTGGGTAATTACAGGGTGTCCCAAAAGTTTTTATACACCTATTTTTTTCAAATTACTGGTCATTAAAGAAAATGCTTCACTTTTAACATGGGGTTTCGACTGGAATAGCAGTTCCATAGCTTGAGCTGAGAAAAGCACAAATCAGGAGCTTTTACGCCCCAACGATCACCCTAGGCAAAGAGATTCCATTTCTCGTCCTGAAAAAGCCTTTATGAGGAAAGTGTGCCTCAATTGAAGAAATAGGTACCTTAGAATGCAGCCAGTTAAGCGTCAGCCAATCAGCCTGCTGCGTACAGCCAATGGGTTTGAACCAATTGGGTTGATGCAACCCCCTAGTGTTTTTCGCGAACAACATAAAAACGGCAGCGCGTTGCGCTGCTAAATTTTGCATGCCGTCTGAGGCAACCTTTTCGCACCTTCCCTGATAATTTCAGGTCTATCATTTTAGGTCAGGTCACCAGGTCACCGAAACCGGTACAATGCAGGGTAAAATTTGACTATATAAGCGGCAACGGAATCGCTAAGTTTATCGTTCATAGCGTAAGAACCGCAGGACTTAGCGCCACCAAATTTCAAACTCAACTTGGAGCAGCCATTCGACACGTGTCCTGGGAGTTTTGTGTTCCAGTGGCTTCAGGTCAGGTCACAAGGTCACAAAAACCGGTAGGTACATGGTCAAAATGGCACTGAAAATACGTTTTTTTGTCAATGAAATCTCGAGTTGTCCATCAATTTGATTCAAACTGGCAGGGTATGCACAGCTTACCGAGTTGTATAACGTACATCCAGGTTTGCGAAGTTCGGTTGACTTTAGGTCATCTAGAGGTCACGACAAATTCTAAGAAAGTTTGTCCTAATAGCTCCAATTGTAAAAAATATGCTCCATTTTAGCGTTTTTGTATTGTAATCCCTCGGTTTAGCTCAATTGAGGATGGAATTGGTGTTTGTTTGCTAAAAAAAAAAAAAACACCGGTCGGGTCGTCTGAGGTCAAATAAGGTCAAACTACGTTTTTGCTAATAATTTAGCACACAACGAGGCTAGAGCTTCAAAAAGGCGTTATTGTGTTCTTTGTAATCAGCCGAAACGAATGATATGCGACATGATGCAATGTGGTTAATTGCGTCATGTCGTTAATAAATTAATTTAGATTCTCTTCTAAATTAGAAAGTTTTAGACACTGGTAACCGCTTCTATTGCGCTCCGTAGTTTGAAAGGGCGTTAATTATGGAAAAGTGTAAGCTACGGCAGAGCTTTATGAAACGAGGCCCAGAACAAAAAAGTTGTGAGTGCCAGCCCCTCTCTCAACTCAAGCAAAGTTGGGGTGCCCGGCCCCTGCTGGCTCCCCCGGTGGCGACGCCCGTGATAGTATAGCGTTATGTCAAATGTCTTGCGATTTAATAATTGATTCAGTTATAATTCTAGACAAGTTATCTATCACTTTTGAGTTTTAAATATGGGTGAATACGAGCTGTAAATCTGCAGGAAATGGGCGCCAGTTAGGAATCATTTTAGATGAAGTTGATCGTCTATGAAATAAGTGTGCGCCAACTAGTTTTTCAGTAATTCAGTAAGCGATTCTCGTGCTCTGTTCAAAATACAGTGAGGGTCGAACTAAAAAAAACGAACTATAATATCAGTTCCCTTCTGTTTTGACTCCTGCGGTGACTGACTCTCCAGCATTCTCTGTTCGGCTGTCGAGTAACAACCTTTGCGTTGAAAGCTCGGTATTCGCCCCAGCCCCCTTCATGTATCCACTGTGGGGAGCAACTCGCAGTGGCCCATGTTCTGCTGACTGACGTGCCGCCGGCTCTCCCGGATGCGGTCACACCACCTCGGGCATCCTGTGCCCACAGTGACTCTCTTAAATTTTATCTCAGACAACTCGCGCTGGATCCATAACGATGGCTTATTTTCCTTTATCCGCGCAGCCAACTTCCCCGTTACTTTCATTTCCTAAGCATCAAACATAAATTAGTAAGTAACTTAAGACGCATTTAAAATCTCCGTTATGGGCGCAAAATGACCTTGCAGTCGGCGCGCCCCTAACCCCCAACAAACAAACAAATAAACAGCCCTCTCCTTCGTGTCAGGTCGGTATTTGACCTAACTACTTACACGTGTCATCTCGGTGTTCGACCTAGCCTCTCTTCTGTGTCAGCTTGTTCTTTCACCCAGCCCCCTCTCCTTGTCAGGTCGGTATTTGACCCAGCCCCCACCCCTTGTCAGCTCGATGTTCGACCCAGCCGCCTCCCTCGTGTCAAGTCGGTATTTGACCTAACTACTCCCCTGTGCCAGCCTGTATTATAACACAGCCCACCCCTGTGTGATACCAGACGGAGAGACTGAGGCGCTGGACAGCGAGTCTGTCTGTGGTTGTGCTGAAGACGGCGTCGGACGACCATCAGTTCCGGCTGGCGAATCTAGCCAGCTCCGACCCCGTCCAGCTGCCCGACGAGTGCTTACCAAAACAGCCGCTCGCTGCTGCCGTGCGCCAAGATGGCCGTCCACCGCCACCGATGCCGCCACTCGCTCGCCAAGACGCCCGTCCATTGGTGCCACCGCCCCACGCCCACTTGCGCTCTGCCACCGTTGACTGCGGCTAGCCGAGATTCAGGTTCAAGGTTTAGGCATACCTACATTAATGTTAATTGCCTATATTCATCGAAGCGAAGGTGTGGTGACAAAGATGCCTATGGTGGTGAAATACGGTGTACGCAGCTCCTGGTGATGTTTTTATTGCCCTTAGCTTGCCATCCAATACCTATCATCATTTGATCATGTATGCTGACTTGAGTGGCTGATATTTGATAATATATAGCATGAAGTGTTGCAAAGTATTTTGATAAGAAATCGAGGTGCTGGGTGTGACCTTGGCTTCTACTTTTGATGAAATTCGTAGCTCTAATATGTATGTATATAAGTGTGTATTGTCATACACAGCGAAGTGGGGACCGATGTATGACGTCATTAATACGTCATACAGCCCGGGCCCCACTAAGCTGCGTTTTTAACATCGTCCAATTTCACATTGATCCCGTTAAGAAGTATGCAATCTGAATCGGTAACCCAAGAGAAGCATGACCATGTAACCAAATTTATTCTAGCACAACAAATAAAAAATTAAAGTCGGACCCCACTCCGCTGTAAATCAACATGGGCACCACTATGCCGCACCTTACAACATGTGTGTGTGTGTGTGTGTGTGTGTGTGTGTGTGTGGTGTGTGTGTGTGTGTGTTGTGGTGTGTGTGTGTGTGTTGTGTGTGTGTGTGTGTGTGTGTGTGTGTGTGTGTGTGTGTGTGTGTTTGTGTGTGGTGTGTGTGTGTGTGTTTGTGTGGGTGTGTGTGTGTGTGTGTGTGTTGTGTGTGTGTGTGTGTGTGTGTGTGTGTGTGTGTGTGGTGTGTGTTGTGTGTGTGTGTGTGTGTGTGTGTGGTGTGTTGTGTTGTGTGTGGTGGTGTGTGTGTTGTGTGTGTGTGTGTGTGAAGGACCGCCTCCAAAGCTCCCATTCACCAGAGTGAAGTTCCTTATAAACGATTGTTTGCTTATTGCTTTATGTCTTATGAGCGATTACTTGCTGTTACTTTATGCTTTCGGTTGAGTGTTTAACCAAGTATTATGAACGGGGAGGGAGGCTAGCGGGCCTTGTGATTGTTTTATAGTTTTGATGGCGTTTTTTCATGACTCATGCCATATTACTGCTGCAGTTTGCAGTCCACTGTTTCATGTATTTGTGTTTCATTTGACGTGTCTGTAGTCGTTTGAAATATACCTACATTCAATCAAAGTCAACCACTACTTTCCTTTTGCAATGCTCGAGCCTCGATGACCGGTTAACAGAGCATATGAGTGACCGTAACAATTTTAAATATGCATTGAAATCGCACAACCTGCTGAAAGTGCATTGGCTGCTCCTTGCTACTTGATCCAGTGTGAAGCAAAAGCAAGATGAAGTCAAGTCGAGACTTGAGAAAACAGGAGCCGTCACTCGAGCCGAACCCGAGCAAAGCCACAGTAGTTTGCAATGTATAAACCCCATTCACTTCTATGGCTTAAGTCGGGATAGACAGGGCACACAGAGTGGGCTTGCCGGAGTTCAGCCCGCTCGGGCCCAGAGTAATCTCTATTATATAAATAGATTCACTGCTCGGGCTTAAATCGGGCTAACGCCAATCGTCGCTCAACTAGGGCTTAACTACGGCTGTCCGGAGCTCGCAGAGCGGGCATACCTCCGGCAGAGCATGGGCTTTAGTCGGCGTTTTTGTGTCATACGCCGACTTTAGCCCAAGCCCTAGCCGACTTTAGCCCGACTAAAAATCTCGGGCAATCCGCACTTGAGCCTGCTTGGGCCCGGAGCAAAATTGCTGGCTGGGTCAAGGTCATGACCTGACCGGAAAGGGTCATGTTGCATATCAGTCGATCCGTATCGTCTAGCTGAACACATCTAAGGCGTTTTCATCGCTCTAGCATGCCTCTATCAAAAGTTATTTGCGAAAAACTGTTAGATACCATTCGTGACCTAAGATGACCTCAGGGCATAAACAGGGGTCACGGACACCATTTTCATGTTCAGTGTGTCTAAAACACTTGTAATTCAGTGTTTGGGAGTGTTTATAATGTCTTTCGTCCAAAAGAGGCGCATTTCAATTTTCTCCCATTGACTTATAATGGGGAGGTCGCAAAATTGACCTGACCTTAGGTCATCGATATCAAAATTCTGAGATATACATTTTGTACATGCTATTGCTCTTAGCAATCGCTGAAAGTTTCAAAGCGATCGGTCACTCGGTGTAGCTATGACAGACATTGAAACTTTTTATGAGGTGAGGTCACTTCAAGTGACCTGGTGACCTGACCTTGAATGACCTTGGTCTGAAATTTTCACAACATGTGTAGAATTGATGTATGATAAGGTGTACCAAAAACGGCGGCGCTCCGCGCCGCCGTTTTTGAGATATTCGCGAAAAACCACAAGGGGGGGTGTTCAAACACCCCCCCCCCCCAGCAGGGCGCGGGTTAAGATAGAACAAAAAGAAAAGCTTTAGTGAACTCAGCACGTCAAGGCGCGTCGAATGATATATTTTTTAGCTTGCTTAAGTGTACTTAAAACTTTTCATAAGTATTATAGTAGGCTTTAATTGATGAATTAAGTTCCAGTTCACCAAATTGCATCATATCGCATATCATTCGATTCGGCTGATCACCAGAAACACAATGACACCATTGTTATGCTCTAGCATCATTATGTGCCAAGTTATTGGCAAAAACGTCATTTGACCTCAGTTAACCTCATTTGACATGACCCATGGATAAGTACACCAAACAAAGAAGTACCAAGTGACCTACTGTTAAGTACTGTGGTTTCAAAGTACAAAAGTGATAGAACGAAGCAGATATCTCCAGTATTTTCCAAGTTTAGTATTTTCCCATAGGCTTAACACGCGCAGTGAAAGGGGGGGGGCGGATTTCGCCCACCCCTCCTGTTTTTCGCCAATAACTCGCGCCGCAAACATAGTATCAATGTGAAATTTTGGCCACGTGTCTAAAATTGAACTGCAGATCTTCTCGTGCAAGAAATAAGAAAATCGGTTCACAACTTTTCTAGTAATAGCGGTGTAAATTCAAACATCCTGCCGCCGCGGCGGCGCGGCGGCCGGCGCTAGCCGTTACGCGCCGCCTGAATTGTAGACTGTGCCGGGGTGGAACGGTTCCGTCTTTACATCGCGCTCCTTACCGTTGATTATATTCGATTCGCGTCAAATTTTGTGAGAAGACTAACAAATGTAAAGGCAATCTTATGATTAAAAATTTTTGAAAATCCGCCGGTTGAAACTTGAGTTATGAGTGTGTAAACACAAAATTGTGATTGCCGCGTTTCCCGCGTCGGCCGATCCCGCTTCAGCCGGCGACATCTTACGCTTAGCAGGCTTCTAACTGCCACATCTATTGTTGGATTAACTAGAAATTCACCATACATACTTACAAATGTCTGTTCTTGAAAGAAAAAGGAAAATCGGCCGGTAACTTTTTGAGTTATCGGCGTGTAAACGCAATAACCCGCGCCCCACTGGGGGGGGGGCTATTTATAGCCCCCCCTCCCGTTTTTCTGCAATAACTTCCAAACCGCTTGACGTATCGACGCCAAACTTTCAGTAGCTTCGGCTGCATCAATTTGACACCTTGTGTCAAAATTTGAGCTTCATACCTACCATAGGTCGGCCGGAAATGACGTCAGAGTGACGTCATGTTCGGCCGATTTCGACGCAAAACATTGAACCACGACAATCGCTCCCAAGAGCTCAGTTTTTAAGCTAGATCCAATTTCTTTGCATGAGAGGACTCAGAATAGACTGCGCTATCAAACTGCTATCTCGGATTTTCGAAATGTTGAAAATTTCAAAAATTTTATATAATAAAACTCAAAATTTATATTTTTACATTTTTTTTCAAATTTTTTTTGACTTTTCGAAAAAACCGGAATATATGTCATAGAACGCATTATTATGACTAACTCTAGAAAGTTTTAGCTAAATATCTTCAAAAATGGCCAAGTTATACGCATTATTGCAAAAAATTAACAATTATTAATTTTTCAAATCAATTTTTCAGCATGAATTTGACATCGTACGCCAATATAAATAGCACCATCGTGTTCCTGAGCTCAAACTGCATCCAATAGACACCTTTTTTGTTGAAAATTTTTAACTTCAAAATTTGACCTTTTTTGACCTGAAAGTGACCTGACCTGAGCTAAATTTGACTCAAAATGACCTCGAATGACACAAACGACATCAAATTCGAAATCTCTGACCTAAATGGACCATAAAACATGTGTCACGTGACCGACGGATGATATCATATTTTCGTGACCTGTGATGACCTGACCTTGACCTGAAAATCAAAGTACAAGTTTGGTACCCTCAGAGTATCTAGAGCATCTGTTCACGAGTGTGTGAACCAAAAATGAGCCTGATCTGACTTGTAAGACGGCGGCCAGAGCCCAAAACGTGAAGAAGCCAAAATGCTAATAATTTTTACTTTGACCTGACCTGTGACGTCATCGGTGACCTTGAGGTCAATGAAATTAGGTTTCGCTCGACAGTTTTTCCGGGGCTATCAGACGCCGTTTGAATTTTGACGATCGGCCCAGTAGTTTCGGAGTTAGGAGGGGGGCTATGAATAGCCCCCCCCCCCTCCCAGTAGGGCGTGTTATACGCAGACCCCAGTGGGGCGCGGGATAAAAGTCGCTCATATGGCAGATTTGACCAAATTTGACCTAATTTGACCTTGAAGATATTGACCTAGGGTCATAAAATTCACACACAACAGAGTACCTTAGGGCCCCCACCTACCCTCCAAACTTCGTCTCTCTAGCTCCAGTGGGAGCTGAGATCTTAGGGGGGGGGGGCGCCATCCGCCCCCCTTCCACTGAGCGTAGTACTCGCAACCCTTCCACTGCGCGTGTTAACCCGCGCCCTGCTGGGGGGGGGGTGTTTGAACACCCAGGGTGTTCTTCAAACACCCCGGGTGTGAACACACAACAAGGTGTGTTTGAACACAAGGTGTTCAAACACACCTTGTGGTTTTTCGCGAATATCTCAACGTTTTTGGTACACCTTATCATACATCAATTCTACACATGTTGTGAAAATTTCAGACCAAGGTCATTCAAGGTCAGGTCACCAGGTCACTTGAAGTGACCTCACCTCATAAAAAGTTTCAATGTCTGTCAAAGCTACATCGAGTGACCGATCGCTTGGAAACTTTCAGCGATTGCTAAGAGCAATAGCATGTACAGAATGTACATCTCAGAATTTTGATATCGATGACCTA